TTCTTTAAGACGTACTAAGCAATTATCGAATAAGGTTGACTTGTTACGACTACAAGATATAAAATTAAAGAAGGATTTTATATTAAAATATACTAAAAACAGAGATTTTGAAAACCAATTAATTCACAAACTTAATTTAAGCTTGGTATTGGTAGTCAGGGAATTGCTTCAAGTTTTGTTCTAACTTACCCTTCTTGGTTAAGAACTTAACGTAAGCACCATCGTCCTTAACTTCACCATTGTTCTTCTTAGCAAGGTATTCGTCTCTGTTAAGAGGAGTGAAACCCCATTTCTTAGAGATAATAATCTTTTGTTGACCTGGGAACTTGTATCTAGCTCTTCTCAAACCTTCAATAACGACATCCTTGTTAGAGTCCTTAGTTCTAGCGGACATAAGAATTTGACCAATGTCAACTCTGGCAGCTAAACCGTGTGGTTTACCCCAAGCACCTCTCATACCTTGTTGCAATCTATCAGCACCGGCACACGACAACATCTTGTTGATACGTAAGACGTGGAATGGGTGGACTCTGATTCTCAAGTGGAAAGAATCTCTACCGGAAATCTTGGTGATATATTTGTTAGCACAGATACGAGCGGCTTCTAAAGCTTCAGATGACAATTGTTCTAATTCGTTAGAAACTAAGTGAATACACAATGGGAATTCATCAACAGTAGCCTTCTTACGACCTAAATCGTAGATTCTGATCTTAGCGTCTGGGACAGCTCTGTTGTATCTACTCTTTGGGTATGGTTTGTTCTTACAGTATCTGTAACATCTAGCTGGTCTTCTAGCCATTTTGTCTAATAATTAGTTAGTAATCTAAGATTCACAAATAATCCTAATAACTGTATCAATTTTTACTATGAGGTCTTTTCCTTGCTTATATATCCATTCAATTTTTTTCACTTGATTTGTAATCATTTTTTTCCACACCTATAATTCTTTGCCAAGCACTTATTGCATTCCATTACTATCTGGTCTTCTCAGAAGATGCTCATCATGACCTTCATATGCTTATTGATACGTAGTCTTCGTTGTTTTTCATTTTAGACATACCTTATTTACTATAGTAGTGATCTTGTAATAAGGAATATAGAAATGTCCCGAAAAAATTCTCTTTTAGTAAGCTCCAGAGTAAGTCTCGCGCAGATTTTGGGTATTGTTACACAAAAACGCCTTTGGACCACAAAACTTTTCAATCCTGCTTATAGGGCTGGAATAGTATCACCTGATGTTTGTGACTGCTATTTGCAAATATGTGCTACTTCGATGAGAGCCGTTCTATATACCGGATAGTGGATAAGGGACCCAAACGTACACTCGGCCTAAAGAGGACTGGATTATATGCAGGAGATATAAAAAATTCAAGCTCATCTCAGAAGATTTATGTATGGTGAATCAAATGGTGGACAAGGTGGGTAGTGATAAATATAGTCAAAATGGGTAGATATAGTGTAAAAAGATATAAGACTAAAAGAAGAACCAGAGATCTTGATCTTATCTACAATGACTTATCGTCGAAGGATTCGATTATGAGGTTGAAAAATCAACCTCTTGACGAGACTAAGGCTGGGTTGGGACAATATTATTGTATTGAATGTGCCAAATATTTTGAAAACCAAGAGTCATTGGACCGTCATTCCAAGGGTAAGGTGCACAAGAGAAGGGCTAAGGATTTGAAACAGAGACCATACACCAATTTGGAATCGGAAGCTGCTTCGGGAGTGAACATGCTCAAATTCATGGAATCTGTAGAGAAATACAAGGCATTGGAGCAATTCAAGGAGCAGAATAAGCAGGAATTCGACGAGTTGAAGGACCAGAAGAAAGACACCTTGGATGCGATTATAACCGGGATTCCAAGCGAAGAAGCTGGCAAGGACGACAAGCCAATAGTACCCGAGGGCGAGGTCGAAATGTCCGACAATTGAGGCCTTTTGCCTATTTTGTATACTAGATTTTTGTTGCACATTTGCAAACATTCTTATGATTTCATTTCGTTTAAAGTGTGTTTACACGTTTATATTTACTGCAAGAGGTAGCTGCTTCACAGCATACAAGAGCCACATCATCAAGGAGATGCTGGTTCCAATATACGGCAATCATTTATGATTCTGCTTCTTTCGTTCTATTGTAGCCTCTAGATAGTTTCCTGGATCATACTTTTGTATGGGGTTCGATTTTGTGTAACTCTACTCGATATATCGACTGATAAGCTATTGTGGGCACTGATTACACAACCACATACATTGTCTATTATGAGAATAAAAATCAAGTCTCGAGCCGGATCTTCGGTGATAAGTTGTACAAGCGACCAAGTGCCGTTGAATGAGTTAGTCAAAGAAATCAAAACGGCGCTTAAGGATTCCATATCAGGAGATGCCGTTCTTAGCCTCAAGAACGGGTTTCCTCCAAATCCTATAGATATGTCGAGATTGGAGACACCAATTAAGGAACTAAATATCAAGAACGGAGATCAATTAATATTGGAAGATGAAGGTGAGTCTTCTTCGAATGATATGAAAGAATCGAAGCTGAATCAGGCGTCTGGTGTGCAACAGAGCAAAGTAAAATCTGACCCTAATATTCCATCCGTTTATATTGAATCATTAGATAAGTATCTTATCCTTCGGAATATACCTGATGATAATTCCTGTATGTTCAATTCAATTTCATACGGTCTTTTTGGATATAATTCGTTTGAACGGGATGGTATTTCGCCACCAAGTAACTTAAGATCTATTATCAGCAGTACAATCCAGGACAATCAAGATACATACAGCGAGGTTGTTCTTGGGAGACCTATAGATAAATATTGCCAATGGATACTCAAGAAGGATTCGTGGGGTGGTGCTATTGAATTGGGTATATTAGCAGAGTGGTTCAAGATCAGAATCGATTGCCTTGACATAGAGCTGGGGAAATTCATAAAGTTTGAAAACGAAGCAGACAAACCAGACAAGTTTATGGTATTGATATACCTGGGTATTCATTACGACATTTTGTCTTTGAACGTTAACTTATCAACATTAAATCAGGATAAGCAAACTGATACGTGCGTTTGGCCCATAGATTCAATGACAGAAGAATTCGTGCTTGACTATTCTTTAAAATTGTGCCATTATTTACAAACCCAAAACTATTCTACGAATACAACCACTTTCAGAATTAGATGCTTAGATTGTTACAAGATATTGGTGGGGGAAATGGGAGCTTCGAAGCACGCAAATGAAACTGGACATTATAACTTTGGCGAAGTCAAATAACTCTCAAAACGTATATATAATAATGAATACATCTCAGTAAGCATTGCCCACTTCTTTCTCTACGTGTATGATAATGTAGGCATCGATGGTTAAGTATCATAGACGCACGTGACGTCTTCTTAAATAATTTGTCGAGTATCAGCAAATCGATTTTTTTATGGACAATTAATGCCAAAATTATTTGACATATAGGGTTTGATTAACGTTTCAGTTGAATACCAATTCATATTTCTTGTTAATATTATTAAGAGGAAGCTATAGATATGTCAGCAACTACTCAGTTTTTCTGTATGTTTTTTCTTTGATATTCTTTTTGAGAGAAGTATCTTACGTGGAAGTCTATTTCTTCATGGTGGAGCTTGCTTTTGGAAGAATCGCCACATTTAGCGTAATATCTTATTACTTTGGCCATTCCAGCTCAATTACTAACTATAACCAGGTCGTCAACCTAAATCTATTGATTTGATACAGGATTACGAAGAAATCACAACATTTCCAAAACCAACTGCTGAATGCCGTTCTGCTTTATATTCAAGTAATGGAGAATATTTTGCTTATACTCAGCCAAATGAGGTCGTAGTGGTCAAGACAACCAAGGAGGCACCATTACAAACTAAGATCGATTTACCAGAAGTGTTTGATTTACATTTTTCTCCAAATGGTACTTACTTGTGCTTGTGGTGTAAACCAATTTTGCAGGATAAGGAAAGTGGAGTATGGAACAAAAACGTGAAAGTTTTCAATATTAATTCTAATAGCATTATTAGTGAATGGTCAAATAAACATCAAGCTGGATGGAAACCGCAATTCACACAAGATGAAAAGCTCTTTGCTAAAAATGTCAATAACAAGGAACTTCACTTTTTTGACGTCACGAATTCTAGTAATGAACAAATTAATATCAATCAACCTACCTATAAGTACAAGCTTAGTGATCCTAAGGCCACTTTCCAAAGCTTTCAAATGAGTCCAGGTTTAAATCCATCCATTGCAATTTTTATTCCAGAAAAGAATGGTAAGCCAGCAAGCGTCGTGATTTACAATGTACCAAATTTCAATCAACCAATTTGTCTGAAAAATTTTTTTAAAGCTGAAAGATGTCAATTAAAGTGGAACTCGATTGGTACAGCATTATTAGCATTAGCATCTACAGATCACGACACCACCAACAAATCTTACTATGGTGAAACCAACCTTTATTTATTAGGGATTGCAGGATCTTATGATTCAAGGATTGACTTGAAAAGAACTGGTCCTATCCATGATATTACTTGGTCTCCTTCTGCAAGAGAATTTGCCGTTGTCTATGGTTATATGCCAGCTGATACAACATTTTTTGATGCCAGAGGTAATGCCATCTTTTCATTACCTACTGCACCAAGAAACACTATATTATATTCTCCACATGCCAGATACGTATTAGTAGCCGGTTTCGGTAACTTGCAAGGTACTGTTGATGTTTATGACCGCCAAAATAAGTTTTCAAAAGTAACTACTTTCGAAGCTGCAAATACTTCGGTATGTGAATGGTCACCATGTGGAAGATACATATTGACAGCTACGACATCGCCAAGATTGAGGGTTGATAATGGGTGCAAGGTTTGGCATGCAAGCGGTAAATTGGTTTATTTGAAGGAATACCAAGAATTGTATTCGATCACTTGGAAACCTCAAAGCTTGGATAAGTTTCCTCCATTAAGAAACTTAGAAGATGCGCCAGCCGCTCACGAATCGACTAAGGAATACTTGGCAAAGAAGCAGGCAAATGATTTGAATGCTGCCAAAAAGCCTAGTGGAGCATACCGTCCTCCTCACGCCAGAAATTCAGGTAGCAGTGCAAGAACGTCATTATATCAAAAAGAATTACAATCAAGTAGCTCACTCTCTGGATCCAACGGCAACGGAGCTAGAACTAGAGTAGTTCCAGGTGCTGCTCCAGTGGATAACACTCCTAAGGAAAGCAAGAGTGCCGCTAAAAACAGGAAGAAGAGAGAAGCTAAAAAACAGCAACAAGAAGAAGAAAAACCGGCTGCATCACCAGCTAACAGTGTTGAAAGTATTAAAAAGGAAAATGACAATTCTGGAAGCGGTGTTATTGGTGGTGTTAGCTCGTTGGAAGAGAAGAAAATCAGATCGTTGTTAAAAAAATTGAGAGCTATAGAAACATTAAAAATGAAGCAGGCCAATGGTGAAACCTTGGAAGACACCCAGGTGTCTAAAATCAAAAAGGAGGACGACATTAGAAAAGAATTACATCTGTTAGGATGGTCTGATTAGGTCGTCTATACCCCTATTACTACTTCTACCGTCAGAATAAGTTGTTCCCTAATGGGGTGCTACTGATATGTACGGTGTAGTACCTAAATAGTCCACTGTATAGAAATAAACTTTTTTTGCACCTTCCTCAGTTCGTCTCTCCCAAAGAAATTACTCAATTAGGAGTACTAATTGACAACATCATTCCCAGACTTCTTCACAGACGTACTGCAAACGCGATTCGTGATTGTTCAAGAATCGCGTTTCGCATTGAAATGAAGCGTAGAATCTAGATTTCATGTCGCCTGCAACGTTGACGCATTTAATCTTTTTTTCGTTTCGTTATACTTGTGTTATACGTCGCTTTTCACTTGTTGGATGTCATCGTTTGTTTGGTGTCAAGTCGCATGTGCTTGAAATGGCATCAATTGCCTGATCTCAAAGCCCTCTAGTGTTAACGATTTCAAGATTCTTTGGATCTGTGCTAGCATCTATCTGGCTTATTCAACATGGGCGCGAAAATTCATCCTTGTCAAAATGAACTCTGTCCATTTCGAACTAAATATCCTACATCCTTGCACCAAAACACTTCCATACACCAAATATTAACGGATATCCTCCTTGCTGATTCGTGTCCTAGTCTAAACACGACCACGCCTGAGCCCAACATTACCCGGCAGAAATCTTATTGTTATGCTCACCGTTATGTAGCCCGCAACAGGTACCCTACCCTTTCTATTGCTCTTTTATTGCTATTTGTGGTCTTTTCCGTACATGAGCATACTATTCTCCGTAACGACCGCATGTCGTAGGTCTTCCCGTGTTCATATCCATCGCCAGTGCCCGATTGTCAATATACAGTTTGAGTAGCACACGAGCGCTCGAGCAACCGCTAAAATAGCTAGACTTATATTTGACTCTCTACACTGGCATTGCCGAAACCTTGTTAGGCTCCAAAATTACTTAGACCAGTTTCTACAAGTTTCCTTTCATAACTTGTGTATCAGTCTCTTATCTCTATTTCACGGATCAAAGTTAACCAGCTCACGTGTGCATGCGCCCGCCGCAAACTAGCCACTGTACTTTAATTAACCACTCACCGGTCTTTGTATTACCAATCACCTTTGTGGCACGGATATTTATAGATACATTTATTGCGCCTCTTCCTTCCACCATGCAGATTTCGCTGTTCCTGTCGCACTTAATGTGTGCACTATATACACGTATTGGTCGGTTCAGTTGGGCGACGCGATTTCGCCAATTTTAGGTGTCCCTGTAATAAAGGAAAAACGGGCAGCGAAAAAACATATGCGGTCTCGTGATCCAGAGGTACAATACTTCAGAAGGATATATCCCGTTTTTTTTTAATTCTATATAGTTATTCTACTTCAGACTTTCGTTTTTTTAAACATTCTTGTTATTTTTAATCTATCGTTACTATCGATTTATCGAGTGTTGTATTGAAATACATTATTCACTGTATGTTAACTTTTTCTAGGAGAATTGGAGATAGATGAAATATGATTTGATTCGGGGTGATTTGGTACCGGTTACGTGTGTCTTTTTTTAATGGAAGGTTGAGAGGTCGCCATAAGACCTTTGATGAGCAGTACATGGTTAATGTAATTGGTAGAGCTTTGATCTAGGACAGCGACGGCAATGATCCAATTAGCCGCCATAGAAGGAGTACACAGCCATAGCAAATCAGGGGAACTTTTATGCTGAAAAGATGGAAAAAAGGTTCCACAAGAGTTTTCAGACAAGACTAGAGGATGCATAGAGACTGAGAATAAACGTAGACTTTAATTTGAAAGTGTTAGAGTGGTCTTATCGAAGCAGATCATTCTACGCCTTAAAAATGAGAGTCGCACTGTATTAGATCAGCCTAATTAGGGAGTCTCGGTTTGAACCTCGAATTTTTTAAAAAGGTAATTAAAAAGAAAAAAAAGTTTTCCGGTCCCGATTTGATGAAATTGTTTCCTGTTCGAATTATTATTTCGCAGAGAAACTATCCATATCCATCTATCTATTTATATAAACCCACGCATTTGGTTAATTTTTAAATTGATTGTTTTACTAACAGTAGTTTAGATGTCGTATAACGATAATAATCATAATCATTATGATCCGAATCAACATGCGGCTGCTGGTGATGAAGGTTATTACCAGCAACAACCGTATGATGATTTGAATCAACCTCAACAAGATTACTATGATCCAAACGTTCAGTACCAACAGCAACCGTACGACATGGACGGGTATCAGGATCAATTTACCGGAGGTCAGCAGCTTCCTGGTCAACCAATCGGTGGCTACAGCGCAGACCCTGAAGCTTTTTCTGACTTCAGCTACGGTGGACAAACTCCTGGTACTCCTGGGTACGATCAATATGGTACACAATACACCCCATCTCAAATGAGTTATGGTGGTCCAAGATCATCCGGTGCCTCTACCCCTATTTACGGTGGTGGTATGGGTAATTACGATCCAACCCAGTTTCAAATGTCTTCTAGCTTGCCATATCCAGCTTGGTCTGCTGATCCACAGGCTCCTATCAAGATCGAACACGTTGAAGATATCTTTATTGACTTGGCCAATAAATTCGGGTTTCAAAGAGATTCTATGAGAAATATGTTCGATTACTTCATGACATTGTTGGACTCTAGATCTTCAAGAATGTCTCCAGCTCAGGCTTTGTTAAGTTTACATGCTGACTATATTGGTGGTGATAATGCCAATTACAAAAAGTGGTTTTTCGCGTCCCAACAGGATTTAGATGACTCCATCGGTTTTAGCAATATGACTTTAGGTAAAGTTGGTAAGAGAGCTAGAAAGGCATCTAAAAAATCCAAGAAGGCTAGAAAAGCTGTAGAAGAGCATGGACAAGATATGGATGCATTAGCAAATGAATTGGAAGGCGATTATTCATTGGATGCTGCAGACATCAGATGGAGAGCTAAGATGAACGCTTTATCTCCAGAAGAAAGAGTCAGGGATATTGCCTTATACTTGTTGTTATGGGGTGAAGCTAACCAAGTTCGTTTTACACCAGAAACTATTTGTTACATCTATAAGACTGCTTACGATTATTTGTTGTCTCCACAATGTCAACAAAGACAAGAACCAGTACCAGAAGGTGATTACTTGAACCGTGTTATTACACCTTTGTACAGATTCATCAGATCTCAAGTTTATGAAATTTATGAAGGCAGATTTGTTAAACGTGAAAAGGACCACAATAAGGTCATTGGTTATGATGATGTCAATCAATTATTTTGGTACCCAGAAGGTATTTCTAGAATTATGTGCGAAGATGGTTCTAGATTGGTTGATGTTCCTCAAGAAGAGCGTTATTTAAAGCTTGGAGAGGTTGAATGGTCAAACGTTTTCTTCAAGACCTATAAAGAAATCAGAACTTGGTTACATTTTGTCACTAATTTCAATAGAATTTGGGTTATTCATGGTACTGTTTACTGGATGTATACTGCCTATAATTCTCCAACTTTATATACGAAGAATTATGTTCAGACTTTGAACAATCAACCTACTGCATCCTCTAGATGGGCATCTGCTGCCATCGGTGGTGTTCTTGCTTCATTTATTCAAATTATGGCTACTCTTTGCGAATGGTTATTTGTCCCAAGAGAATGGGCAGGTGCTCAACATTTAACTCGTCGTTTAGTCTTCTTGATACTTATTTTCCTTGTTAATTTGGTTCCAGTTGTGTTTGTTTTCTATTACGCTGGTTTACAAACTGTGTCTAAGGCTGCTCATGCCGTATCTATCGTTGGTTTCTTTATCGCTATTGCCACGTTAATTTTCTTTGCTATTATGCCATTGGGTGGTTTGTTTACGTCCTACATGAACAAAAGATCAAGAAAATATTTAGCCTCTCAAACTTTCACTGCTAACTTCAATAAATTGAGAGGTTTAGATATGTGGATGTCTTATTTGTTGTGGGTTTGTGTCTTTGCTGCAAAGTTTTCGGAATCTTATTTCTTCTTAACTTTGTCCATCAGAGATCCGATCAGAATTTTATCCACTACTAATATGAGATGTACAGGTGAAGTTTGGTTCGGTAATCAAGTGTGTAAACACCAAGCTAAAATTGTTTTGGGTTTGATTTATGCAGTTGATTTGTTATTGTTCTTCTTAGATACCTACATGTGGTGGATTATTTGTAACTGTATTTTCTCCGTTGGTCGTTCATTCTATTTGGGTATCTCCATTTTGACCCCATGGAGAAATATTTTCACAAGATTGCCTAAAAGAATTTACTCTAAGATTTTAGCTACCACTGAAATGGAAATCAAGTATAAACCAAAGGTTTTAATTTCTCAGATTTGGAATGCTATTGTTATTTCCATGTACAGAGAACATTTATTAGCTATTGATCATGTCCAAAAGTTGTTATATCACCAAGTTCCTTCCGAAGTCGAAGGAAAACGTACTTTGAGAGCTCCAACTTTCTTCGTATCGCAGGATGATAATAATTTTGACACTGAATTTTTCCCAAGAAACTCCGAAGCTGAAAGACGTATTTCTTTCTTTGCTCAGTCATTGGCCACCCCAATATTGGAACCATTGCCAGTTGATAATATGCCGACTTTTACTGTTTTCACTCCTCATTATTCTGAAAAGATCTTATTGTCTTTGAGAGAAATCATCAGAGAAGACGATCAATTTTCAAGAGTTACCTTGTTGGAATATTTGAAACAATTACACCCTGTTGAATGGGAATGCTTCGTTAAGGACACTAAAATTTTAGCTGAAGAAACTGCTGCTTATGAGAATGGGGATGATCCAGAAAAATTATCTGAAGATGGATTAAAATCTAAAATTGACGATTTACCATTTTACTGTATCGGTTTCAAGTCTGCTGCACCTGAATATACTTTGAGAACTCGTATTTGGGCATCTTTGAGATCTCAAACATTATACCGTACTGTTTCTGGTTTCATGAATTATGCTAGAGCTATTAAATTATTGTACCGTGTCGAAAATCCCGAACTAGTGCAATATTTTGGTGGTGATCCAGAAGGTTTAGAGTTGGCATTGGAAAAGATGGCAAGAAGAAAATTCAGATTTATCGTTTCTATGCAAAGATTGACTAAGTTTAAAGACGATGAAATGGAAAATGCCGAATTTTTATTGAGAGCTTACCCAGATTTACAAATTGCCTACTTGGATGAAGAACCTGCTTTGAACGAAAACGAAGAGCCAAGAGTATACTCTGCTTTGATTGATGGTCATTGTGAGATGTTAGAAAATGGTAGACGTCGTCCTAAGTTCAGAATCCAGTTATCTGGTAACCCAATTTTAGGTGATGGTAAATCTGATAATCAAAATCATGCGCTTGTTTTCCACCGTGGTGAATATATTCAATTGATTGATGCTAATCAAGATAACTATTTGGAAGAATGTTTGAAGATTAGATCAGTGTTATCCGAATTCGAAGAATTGAATGTGGAACATGTTAACCCATATGCACCAAACTTGAAGAGTGATGATCTTCGTGAAGAATCAGCTCCAGTCGCTATTTTGGGTGCTCGTGAATATATTTTCTCCGAAAACTCGGGTGTTTTGGGTGATGTCGCTGCTGGTAAAGAACAGACATTCGGTACATTGTTCGCAAGAACTTTAGCTCAAATTGGTGGTAAGTTACATTATGGTCATCCAGATTTCTTGAATGCAACATTTATGTTTACAAGAGGTGGTGTTGCTAAGGCACAAAAAGGATTACATTTGAACGAAGATATCTATGCCGGTATGAATGCTATCTTAAGAGGTGGTAGAATCAAACATTGTGAATACTACCAATGTGGTAAAGGTAGAGATATGGGTTTTGGTTCTATTTTGAATTTCACTACTAAGATTGGTGCTGGTATGGGTGAACAAATGTTGTCTCGTGAATACTATTATTTATCTACGCAATTGCCATTAGATCGTTTCTTGTCTTTCTACTATGGTCATCCAGGTTTCCACATTAACAATATGTTCATTCAATTATCTTTGCAAGTATTCATGTTGGTGTTAGCTAATTTGAACGCTTTGGCCCACGAATCTATCTTCTGTTCATACGATAAGAATAAGCCAGTTAAAGATATTTTGTATCCATATGGTTGTTACAATTTTGCTCCTGCTGTTGATTGGATTAGACGTTATACTTTGTCTATTTTCATTGTTTTCTTCATTTCTTTTATTCCTTTAATTGTCCAAGAGTTGATTGAAAGAGGTGTCTGGAAAGCTGCCCAAAGATTTGTTCGCCATTTCGTTTCATTGTCTCCAATGTTCGAAGTGTTCGTGGCTCAAATTTATTCTTCATCATTATTCACTGACTTAACCGTTGGTGGTGCGAGATATATTTCCACTGGTAGAGGTTTTGCTACTTCACGTATTCCATTCTCAATTTTGTACTCACGTTTTGCTGATTCATCGATTTACTTAGGTGCAAGGTCTATGTTGATTATTGTGTTCGGTTCCGTCTCACATTGGCAAGCACCATTGTTATGGTTTTGGGCATCTTTGTCTTCTTTGATGTTCTCACCATTTATTTTCAATCCACATCAGTTTGCATGGGAAGATTTCTTCATTGATTACCGTGATTTCATTAGATGGTTATCTCGTGGTAACACCAAATGGCACAGAAACTCTTGGATTGGATATGTTCGTCTTTCGAGATCGCGTATTACCGGTTTCAAGCGTAAGTTAATTGGTGATGCTTCTGAGAAGAGCGCAGGTGATGCTACTAGGGCACATAGATCGAATGTTTTCTTCGCTGATTTCTTGCCATGCTTGATCTACACTGCAGGATTGTACGTTGCTTATATTTTTATTAATGCCCAAACAGGTGTTTATGATAATCCACAAGAAGTCAATTCTACCTTAAGACTTGTTATCTGTGCTTTAGCTCCTGTTGTCATTGATCTTGGGTGCTTGGCTGTTTGTCTTGGTATGGCTTGTTGTGCTGGTCCATTATTAGGTATGTGCTGTAAGAAGACTGGTGCCGTTATCGCTGGTATTGCACACGGTGTAGCAGTTATTGTCAATTTAATTTTCTTTGTTGTTATGTGGGTTTTGGAAGGTTTCGTCTTCGCAAGAATGTTGTTAGGTGTTATTACCATGATCTATATTCAAAGATTATTATTCAAATTCTTAACCTTATGTTTCTTGACAAGAGAATTTAAGAATGACAAAGCTAATACGGCTTTCTGGACTGGTAAGTGGTACGGCTCTGGCTTGGGTTATATGGCTTGGACTCAACCAGCTCGTGAATTCTGCGCTAAAACTATTGAAATGTCTGAATTCGCTGGTGATTTCATCTTAGCTCATGTTATCTTATTCTGTCAATTACCTATCTTGTGTATTCCATTGATTGATAGATGGCATTCAACTATGTTGTTCTGGTTAAAGCCTTCCAGATTAATCAGGCCTCCAATTTATTCGTTAAAGCAGGCTAGATTGAGAAAGAGAATGGTTAGAAAGTACTGTACTTTATATTTTGCTGTCTTAATTTTGTTTGTTATTATTATTGCTGGTCCAGCTGTTGGTTCATCTTCGGCTCCAGATGATCTTGGACAAAAGTTGACAGGTATTGCTCAAGGTTTGTTCCAACCAAGACATAAGGACAACAACGATACAGGTAAAAAGAATAAGTACTCAGATACTACATACACCTTCTACAGTTTTACACCATCGAACCAGAAGACTTTTACAACCAAGGCTTAGTGGATCATCAAAAATCTTCGATAAGCGAAGATGTCTTTCTTTTATTTTACTTTTTTTGACGAATTAATAAGAGACTTGAGGATGATTTTATTTATGAAAATATAATCTAATCATCACAGTTTGTATTTATTAACTCATGCCATTGTGTGTACCTATACATTTATATACTTTTATTTGTTTTTATAATTGTTCTATTAAATTTAAGGATTATTTTATGATTTTCACCGTAGTAAAATTTTTGAAGAATACAATTTATTACACAATCGCGACAAAGAAATCACGGCCACCTGTGCTATGCTAGAAAATCTATATAAATATAAATATCTATCTTTCAAACTACACAAATAGTAAGTCATGGCATTGTTAAGGAAGGCATACTCATTGCCCAAGTCAACAAAGATCTTACTAGGGATATTGATCTCTATAAGTTCCCTTATATTCTTCATAAAACTTGCTTTCTATCGTTCAGCTATTGTTAACGGAAATCATGAGCAAAATGAAGTCGTATTCCACAATATTCAAGTACCATATTTGCAATTGATACCACGCTATACCATATTTTATCCGTGGGTGATTGTTACTGCAATTTTCGCTGAAATTTCGGTTATTTCATTTATAATATCAGGTGCTATATTGGCGGTATCAACCAAATATGTGGAAAAGTTTTGGGGATACAAGGAAGTTATTAAGTTTGTCTTGATATTAGGGACATTTACCAACTTGATAACTGTCTTGATTACAATTGTTTGTAATTTGATGAGAGGGGATGTCGAGGGAATGGATAAGCCATTAGGTGGAGGTATTTCATATTATTTTGGGTTTTTGGTGGTTTTAAAGCAACTTATTCCAGAACATAACATAGTGTTGTTTCAAGGATTAATTAACTTCAGAGTGAAGCATTTACCGTTCATATTGCTCAACGTTGTCTCTGTATGGTCCTTGTTAATAAGTCGTTCCTTATATCCAGCGATCCCATCAATTGGAAGTTTCATCATATCCTACAATTACTTGCGGTTTTACCAATCGTTTTTGACTGACCCATTATTACCAATTACCATGGCAAATGGCAGTTCAGACAATTCGGGTTCTTTGATTACTGGTGATGCCTCTGATGCTTTCCAGTTAGTTGAATTTTTCCCTAGAGTTTTGAAACCTTACTTGAGTGTTGCCTTTGATAGTTGCTACGATTTGGGTTGCATCTTAGGGATTCTTACTCCTTTTAATGATGATTCGATCGAACAAGGCAATATAAGGGCCCAGAAAAGACTGGAACAAGCGAATCAAACCCAAAAAAGTGTGGCCAACTCGGTGGCTGAAAGAAGAAGACAAGTGGCATTGCAAGTCATTGAGGATAGAATAAATAAAGAGACTAGAAAGTAGCTGACTTGTATAACTATATTAATACATAGGTTGTAATACGATGATATGATCGATGAAGAAAAATTACACAAAAGCTCGAATCGATCTCAATTAAAACAATTAAAATTTGTAGTATACAATAATAATATACAAAGCAGAATAGTAAGTGAGAGTTGTGGAAGATGTTCAATGGTGCTAATTCATTTAAACCAAGATACCTGAAGCTGAAAAGCGCCCTACCATTTCCTGCTACTTTCAATAAAATACAAAATCTCAAGAAACTGAATTTAACCACGTACGTTGCAATTTTGTTGTTTATTTGGTTTTTCTTGAATCCTTTCAGTTTTATAAGCAATATATTCCATGGAAATTCACTGTTAGATTACCCTCCAAGCCATCCATTAACTAGTAAATATATCATCGAATCGACTTCTAGATATATATACCCACCCATTGAGGATGCTCCATTATTGAAACAACTTGGTATCAGTAAGTTAGTGTTGGAATCTAAATTAAGAGATGCAAATGCCCCTGAGATCGAAAAAACTATTGTAAGGTCTTTGAATTCGTTTGACGATCCAAATCCTGAAACTCAGAAGACAAAGGAAGAGAGCGAGAATGCTGTTCTGAGTTTATCTAGAGCTAAGAATCGGTTTAAGAATCAAGATAAAATCGTCTATAAACCTAAAAACACCAAGAACTACCCCGATATTGTAATTGTCACTGCTGTGGATTTCGAAAAGTATTCGGTGGATGCATTAACAAAAATCGTACAGAATAGAGTGGATTACGCCCATGAGCAAACCTATGGTGTTTATGTTCGCTGGTATCAAGAGTTTCTTCCTGCTTTGAACTCCATGGATGTTTTGAAGTCCAAGGAAAAAGCTAAATGGATAAGATTGTTTTGTTTAAGGGCTGCGATGTTTGCATTTCCAGAAACGAAGTGGTTTTGGTATATTGATCAAGACTCGTTAATTATGGATATGTCTATAAACTTGCAAGATTATTTATTATCTCCAGAAGCATTAAATCCAGTCATTTTAAAAGAACAACCAATTATCCCACCTGATGGAAGAATTAAGACATATCGTAACTCTAATGCAGACTTGACTAAATTAATTGTAACACAATCAGAAAATAAAGTGGAGTCTCATTCATTTTTGGTTAAAAATGATTATATTGGAAAAGCTATTATTGAATCCTGGGCATTTGATTTATTTTCCAAGTATGAAAATTTCCCATATGGACCTGATTCTGCTATAACACATTTATTGCAATGGCACCCTTTTATTTTAAGTAAAACAAGCATTGTGCCTGCAAGAACAATTGCTGCACAACATAGTCCAGTTGATTTACCTATTGATAAAAATGGTAAAGCCGGTGACCATATTCATTATTACGATGGTGATTTAGCAGCATTTTGGTCTAATTGTGGATCTCCAGAAGAATGTGAAAAATTTTTAAATCTTTATTATTCTAAATTGAAGGGAAAGAACAATAAACAAGGCTAGAATAATGCTACGTGTTGTGTTGCCTATAAATTATAGCATTTAGCTATATATGTATATTAAGTAAAGCTTTATAAAGTCTTATAGATTCTGTTTCAATATCAAAAATCTTCTATGCATAAGTCTTCAATTCCTTGAGCAATTTTAGATTCTAATCCTCTGTTGTGATATTGGGCCATTTTATTTTCCCTTATTAATTCCCAATTTCTAATTATCCTAGCCATTTCAGTTATGCTAGATTCATTGCTGATATTTACTGTGGGAATAATTTCCTTGATCTTCAAAAATACTGCAAAGAATGATAGTTCTCGAAATGAAGAATGCTCACTATAAGGTAGAGTATAGATTCTGTACAAAGATTCATCATGACTCGATTTCTTTGATTTTGAAATTAATGACAGTAAGGGGGATTGTGGCAAGATATTTTCAATAAATGAAAATGTTGGCTGGGTTTTCATTATTTTCACTAAATCATTACAAGAATTTACATTTCTCAAATCTGAGATATATTTGCTTTCATTCTCATCTTCTTGTACTTCTTCTCGTAGGGTCGAAGCATATTTATTCAGAAATGACCATCCAGTTGGACGAAGTCCGACACATCTTTCGAATTTTTCAAAATATCTGTTGTGATTAAAGTAATTCGATAATTCTTCAATGGAACTGACAATTTTCATGGGAACCAAATGAACCATACATTCAGAATCTGATCTGCCTATATCATCGTTTGTTAATACTTGATTCAAATAAATATTGTCAAAGGACTTTACTAAGTCTACCTTATCATTTCGACTGTTAATAGTCAGAACATAAATAGGGCAATTACCTAATCTCTGCAGAATAGAAATAGCCAATCTTTCTTTTCCAATAACATAAGTACCTATTAGAATTAAAAACTTTTTTTTCTTACACTGGCTATCCCGTTTAGCGATAAAATCGGTGATTCTTGATTGCTTTAAAACCCCGAACCAAGTAGTGAATAATGAATCTGTACTTTCAGCTTCTTCTTGTGAATTGATCAAATCATAGAACATATCAGAAACAGTTTTGCATACTAGTTCTTGTTTAGGAAAGTTATATGATGGAGACATGTATGTAGTATCCAAATAAACCTGATCTAGACTTAGATTGTCATTTTTAGCTATATTGAACGGCAATAACCTTGGGTGATCTAAAATCTCTCTATTAACCCTGAAATCTCCACAATGTAAAGTCCTTTTCTTATATCCATTGTTCGATAATGATTCAAACAAGAATATCACTGACCCAGGGCAATGATTTGCGGTTATGGGCGTAACAAATAATCCTGGAAGTGTCATATCTTCTGTTTGAATGAAGTCATCTTCAGTCTCAAATTCAGTATCATATTTTTGTATTAAATATCTTCTATTTATCTGCAATGGCATAATAAACTTTGTATCAATGCTAAATCGTAAAGTTAACAACCTACCAGTGATTTCAGAACAAAAGATAATCTTTTTGTACTTGTTTTCATCCTCGAAATCATCTCCATTTTTAAAGACTCTTTCATAACACCACTTTTTAGTGATACCACCATAATGATCAGAATGAAAGTGTGTTAGAAAATATTTCTTTATTGATTCATGCAGAGAATAATTAAAAGCATCTACCGCTATTTGATAATTCGTTTGTTCAGATGATGGAAATGTTAATATTTTCACTTCGGGGATCTGAGCTTTGGCTCTTGATGCGGATATTGCCGTTGGTGGCTTTATCACTTTGGGTTTTGAATCTTCGATTTTGGCTTTTTTATTTATGTATTTTTCTTTCTCTTTGTCTTGTGGTAACAAAGAGCCATTTTTTCTCTTATTTCTTGGTATATTTATATCTTTCTTCGCTGTCTCGTTGGTCTTTTCTTTCTTTATATCCCTAGATTCGTTGTTTGTAGTTGATACCTCTTCCTTTAAAGTGATCAATGATAAGCATTCTTCAATGTGTAGAATTCGATTATCCATCGAAAAATCAACCAAGCTACGGTTACACATAGGACAACTTACCTCCTCAACATCTGGTTCATTTCTTTCTATAGTTTTGTCTCTATCATTTACCTGCTCAAAATCTGCTTCTCGTGCTTCCATACTTTGGATTCCAGGATTTACTTCATTTTCTAACTTCACACCTTCCCCGTCATCAGTAAGATCTATCACTTCACAAGAATCGAATCTATTTTGAACTTCTATATCATTGCCTGTCTGAGTGAACTCAAATATTGATCTTTGCCGCTTGGATATAATAGAAGATTTCTTCTGATTGACTGACATTATAATATTACTTTATTCCATATTCTTAGAATTTCTGATTTTCTGATATACTTGATTTATCTTTAAGAGCCGGAGCGAATAATCAACAGCATTTATTATGATATTAAAAGCTTGTCTTGGAGTTCAAATGGATCTTAAAAATTATTAAATAATATATGCGACTTAAAATTTATGACATCAACATCGACCCTGAGCTTCCTTTGAACACATACAGACAATGGGGTTACTAAGTATAATAAAGAAACAAAAGATCAAAGACAAAGAGATCAGACTACTAATGTTAGGTTTAGATAATTCTGGCAAAACTACGATTACAAAACGACTATTAAATCAGGATATATCAACAATATCGCCAACATTAGGTTTTCAAATAAATACTATCAACTACAACGATTTCAATTTAAACGTTTGGGATATCGGGGGACAGACCAGTCTCAGAACTTTTTGGGGGAACTACTTTGATCAGACTGATATTGTCATTTGGGTGATCGATTGCTTGAGTTTAGAGCGGCTAAACGAATCGTATCAAGAACTCAGAGAAAAAGTCATACTACAGGACAGGCTCGTTGGGGTTTACTTGATCATATTGATAAATAAAATAGATTTATTAGACCCCGAATTGCATGAAGACATCCGTGAGCAAGTAGCCCATACACTAGACTTACCACTGCAAATCCCTCAAACAGACAAATGGACTATTCAGATGGTGAGCGGAAAATCTGGCAAAGGACTTCCGAACATCCTAGACTGGATAGTAACTAGAGAGTACTAAATGCACGTCAAACACGACTATGTCCTCTTTTAGTCCATCCATTTAACGTATTGGGTTATCTATAGGCGTAACACGATAGTTTTGCAAAAACGCGTTTACATTTCTTAAAACGGTATAATTTAATTTTTCAGGAAGATCCTGGCACCATTGCAAATTTATACTTCAGTACGCTAAACTACCCAAAGAAATTAATTATCTTCATCTTTGTATAACTAAGAAGCATCTTCAAAAGTACACTCGTTATTAGTCTATTCGATAAAGGTACAAATAAACGTTAGACAAGTATCAAAGAGATTTTGCTACAACCAGCCATTTATCCTTTATAGACTACACATTTAATAAACCCCATCTAAAGGTTAAAAAGAAGACACTACAAACTCAATGCTTTCGGAAATTCTAATAACAAAACTTCTTGAATCCGAAAATGTTGAGAATAGTAACTTGATTGAAATATTGGGAAATATTAAGCCTTCGAAATCGGCAAACACTTCAATTTCATCCATAGTTCGAGGTTTGTTCACTAAGAACAAGAAATTATTGTCATTATTGAATACAGTCTCTATTGAATTGGCTAACAACAATGGGAACTCAATCCAATTATTTAAAAATTTTGTCAATGAATTTATAATATGGCTCGAAGAGGATGGGATGGTGCTATTCGAGAAATACTTATCCCTTATTTCTAATCCAGAAAATTGCCTTGAATCTTCGTCCCCTGAAGGTTCGATATGCTTTGGTAAACCAATATTGAATTGCTTGAATTATATTAAATTTATAAATGAATCTCTTCTCATATTAAGAAATCCATTTATCGTCGATAAATTGTCGATCTTGAAAGAAAGAGTAGCTGAACTAATTGACAGCTACCATGAATTTTTGGAGGTGAAATACTTAAACAACATAAGCTTCAGTGATGTAAAATTATTTTGTGAAACGGACAAAGCCAATTCAGTACCTAAATCAAAGAGCTTTGCTAAAGTTTCTAGTTTTTTTAAGATAGATCAAATAGTCGACAGAACTAGAAATGAAAGCTTTTTTATAGTTCAAGATGAACAGAAGCTGGCCAATATTGAGTTGATGCTTTTGAATTTATCCGGAACTGATTATAATTCCTTGGCTCTTTTATCAATTCCTACTAATCAGGATTTACCAAGATCTTTGATGTACCCTCCATTCAGGATTAATGAACTTTCTATTGTTTACATGAAGTCATTGAATCAAATTTTGTTGAAGTCTATTAATTTTTCATCGAAGCATAGTTCTAACTCGGTATCAATCAGTTGTGAGGACCCCAGATTATTGTATACATGGTATAAGAAATTGGAACGTATCTTCCCGCTGGAGGAAAGTGATTCTCCAGTCAGCCAATACTTTTTGATCAATGCAAATAACGTGTCAAACGATATTAGAATGTCAGGCTTAGGAATTAATGTGCTATCAGACTGCCAGCACAAACAAGAGATCCACACAAATGGAAATATTAGTATTTCACAATCAAAAAATGGTTCACATTCGAATCCTGTGTTCAGCGGAAATCGCCATGAGTCGACCACTGACTCGTACAATCCAGCCTCCACTCAGAAGCCGTTTAATCCACCTTTCATGAGCAAGACAAGAAAATCTTCTAGTTCTTCCATAAAATCTATTGATTCAACTGAAGCAATTAAATTTCAGTATGACCGTTCGTTAAATATCATAAATGAGAATTTATCTAAATCAGACTGTAAAAAAGACAGTGGAATGGGAAATGTGGATCCTACGACTCAATACATCAAACCCGTGAAACGCAACTTTGTTAATGCAACAGATAGTTTGCTTGTTCTGGAGAACGAAAATAGACCAGTATCATCACAGGCTGAAATCTATTTTGCAACTCCAGACCCTGGAGACGTATCTAAAGAAGAAGGTGATTCCTACATAAACAAACCCAATTTATCTGATAGTTATAAGTACCAATCTAATCATAAGTTTTCATCTGTTCCGGATTTATCTAAGTCTGAACCAAAGAATAAACTTTATGAGCTATCATCTGGGTCAGCTATTGATATTACAAATTTTGGAAGAAATCATAACCCTTCATTCAGTGTGGAATATGGCCTTTCAGGTATGGGTGCTTTAACAGAACTGGGTATAAATGAAAGTTCAGAAGACATTACAAAGATGGAAAAGAATTCAAAGCAGAAAAGAAAATCTATATTTAGTCTCTTCAAGAAACCATCTAAGATGCAACTGGCTTCGACTGATTCTATTGATCGCAAGAGTAACATGGAATCCCAACTGGACAATCCGACTATTAAAAAAGAAATAACTACAACCGAAGGTGCCATTAATCTCAAGGGCTTAAGAATTGAAACTAATATACCAATAGATTCTGAGGATCCATTGTCACTGGCATCCGATAAATCATTTTCGCAGACGCCTAAATCTGCCTTGCCATCACCTTTTGCCTTACCATCATCTACATCCATGTATTTTTTCAAACAGTACAAAAATGGATCTAGTGCAACTATCAATGGTCAATCTCAAGAAAATATACTGGATCAAGTAGTAGATGACGAAGAAGATCTAATTATACCTCAAAATTTGAAAGATATTATCAATGATGACAAGTCAATTGATTTCTATATCTCTCCTTGTTCCCCAGAAGCAATGAAGATTTCAAAATGGAAGCAAAAGTACGGTAAATGGGAAATGATAACACTTAACCAGAATTTGTTTTTGAAAATTGTTATTAATTACGACCTCAATAAAAGTTGGTTAATTGCTTTTAAAGAAGTTTATGATCAAGAGTATGATGAAGTTATTGATAAGCCAGTATTATTAATGGACATAAACCCCAAAGTCACATCTATTAGACAATCATCTGCATTAGATTTACAAATTAATGCCGTAAATGCTATCACTTCAGAAAAGCTATTGATTATGATTAGATGTAAAAGTGGAAACATGTTAGATGCGATCAGTACTAATATTGATAATGTTTTGGGGGTTCTTGCTCATGCCGGGAAACCCCACAAATTTGCTTCTTCTAATGTTAGTTTATCATCATCGATTATGGACATAAAAGACAAACCTAGTAATTCTTCAACATTGACTAGCCTTAATTCCTCTTTAAACAGCGAGGCTATTAAGCAACCAGGGCAAGGACAATTACCTGCTGCAAAATCAATGTTTTCATTAAATTCGGCAGATATCACAAATTCTAATATTTTAAGTAATCCGGATAATTCTAAATTCCTTTTATTGAACCAAATGACAATCAGGTTGCAAAAACAATTAGAGTCGTATAATCTGATTAGTAACCCATCGTCATGGAAAATATTGTCGATGTACACCTTAAGCATATACATGATATCCGACAATTTTACAAACAAAAACTACTATAATTTGGCTCTTTCTGGTCCACTGGAGGACGCTCTGGATTACAACTGGCTAATCTGCGAGGAAGACAAGTTCAGTCGTATTGAAAGAATAGGGAAAGCTGGTTTATTAATTAAAGCAACAGAAGATGAGATATATATGATAGAATGCAGGGGCAAGAAGGAATTCAAAGCCTTGTTCGAAATATTTTGAACATATAATTACATAGACATAAATACATACTTAATGATATAAGATTAATCAATTTGATTTGCACTATATATATGTTTAACGAATGCGATATTACGCAGATAATACTTCAACTGTTTTTGGTAATGATCTTGTACAGATAGTTATTTGTCATTTTACAGATTTTTGTAAATTTTGCAAAATTTGCATCAATTCAAGAAAACTTTGCGACACTAAAACTAAACCATCAAAAAACGAATTACCTACTTTAAAGATTAGACTTGTATAATATATACATCATTTATGTTTCGCTCCTATAAAAAATATGAAAATGTTGTCAATTTAATGAAAACTAATATTTAATGTTGGATGGATATGTATGTGTGACAAAATATAATCATTTTATCATCCGATGGACGGTTATTTGATTTACTCATAATATGCATTGAGATTAAGTATGATCTAATCGTCTTTCTTTGGACCCCATTTAAGTCCTAAAAAGCCACTATTGTTATTGAGACCACCAACTTTTGGCACATATTTCTTAGCTTGGAATTTAGGCTCTTTAATGTAAATTCTCTTATTGCCAGGCATATCTAATGCAATATATAAAAATTCAGAACTCCAGAAAGTTCTATCCACTTGTTCAAGGGTAACAGTACCATATTTTCCACTTGGTGATTCAACCAGAAATTTCATGAATAAGTAGTCTTTTCCATCCGTACCTCTAGATCTGACAGATTGAGCTGGCCTGTTACGGGCCCACTTATCACCGTGTCCTTCACCATGTGCCTTGACTCTTTGACCCTTTTTGAAATCCAATGCTTCATGTGCCAACTCATTACTTTCTAACATCTTGACAGCCTTGTTAAATGTTCTGGTATCTCCAGAAGGAAGGAACAATTCGGAAAGAATCAAATAAACAACCAAAACAGACACACAGGTAGCTCCAAGAACAAGGACAGATGACAAGGAAAATGTGAATATTCTACCGATTCTGTTAAGAAGTAATTTCCCTTTAGCATTTTTGTCATGTGGAGGAGGAGGTGGTGGTGGCGGAGGAGCTGTACTAGTGGAATATTTGTTGGATAGTAAATGACGGGTCAAAAGATTCGTATATCTGGTCTCTAATCCATTGATCTTGTTTGACCGTATGCTAAGTGTGTGATATGTTGATGGTCTTTGGACAAGATTTGTAAGGGATCTTGTAGACAAAACAGCAATTGGCTTAGTCTTGGCCAAATTTTGGGATGCTCTTAAACATATACCCAATGTTGATATCGATTTCATATCAATTTTATCAATATACTCTGTAGTATTTGCAAGCCGAATGGGACATAATGTATGTAATTTATTGAAATTGTCGTTGGAGGGCCGAGTGTGCGCGAACCATTTTCATCCCACCCATTTGGATGGCTGCAATCGTTTTACAAGTGTAGACACTGTTTATGGTCTACTTCATACTGTGACCCATGTTTCATGTTTGATGCTTCATGTAATAGGCTATACATAGTTTTCCTATTAATTCCAATAAGTTATTCTGCACTTTAGCTGCAATTACCACCTATGAGGACAAAGCCATTATCTTCAGTTTGAATGGTTAGTTGAGCAATGATTCAAGACAAATTGGTTGTTATGGATCCACCACTGACAAATACAAACCCATGTGTTATCAATTTGCTGGTATATTCTCCATAACGATTTCAATTCTAGTACATACTAGAGCACGGATATACAAATTTGTGCACAAATCTACCTAGATTCGCCCTTGTGGCCTAATTGGTTAAGGTGTTATCCTCCGGTTAACGAGTTAAGATAATGATTGCGGGTTCGAGTCCCGCCTCGGGCTTATCGCATTTCTAAAATTTATTCTATTTTTGATAATCTAGAGAAATAGGCTGCATGTCTTTTTTTGTTGCTCATAATAAGAAACACAAGAAATACAAGACACATATAAACCATATAGACCATACATTGTAGACAGTATACATTGAACAACCAAGCTAACCAGCTAACCCTTTCATTTCATATCAGCATAATGTATTGAGAAAAACAGTCACAACAGGGCCAAACCCTACAATATCAGTTTTGTGTAACATCGTGCAAATTTCTCATCTCGCTTACGGGTTGAGGAAATTTTCACTTAGTACTATACCGAAAATTACAGACTCTGAAAGAAAAGTATATTAAAAAATTTTAAAACTTAGTGATTTTGTAAAACTAGTAATCAGTAACAATGGCCAAGATCAGTCAAGGTAAATATCAATTTAATGAAGACCAACAGATTGGATAACAAGATACGTGAACGAATTCAATGAAGTGAATGAAAAATAAATGAAGATTGGTGAAAAATTGAATAAATGAGTTAAAATCAACAATGATACACGGAATAATCAAGGAGAGAAGATTTAATTATCTTGAGGAGTACAAGTGTAAAACAATAACCAATAAAACAAGGAGAATAGGACATTAGACTTCGAAGTTGAGGACTACCAATATGAATTCGTTAAGAGTGATATTTCGACATGTATTTTGTAAAATCCTAGTTGGAGTGATAAAAAAAGACATAATATACTAACATATCTAGACGTTTCTTCTTCCCGTTCTAAAGCTAGAAAGGCTTACTTCTCTTCCTCTTCTGTCGAAAGAAGAGCTTTGATGTCTGCCCCATTATCTAAAGAATTAAGAGAACAATACAAGATTAAATCTATCCCAATCAGACAAAACGATGAAGTCTTAGTTGTCAGAGGTTCTAAGAAGGGTTCTGAAGGTAAGATCTCTTCTGTTTACAGATTGAAATTCTCCATTCAATTAGAAAAATTACAAAAGGAAAAGTCCAACGGTGCTTCTGTCCCAATCAACATTCACCCATCTAAGGTTGTCATCACCAAATTACACTTAGATAAAGATAGAAAGGCTTTAATCCAAAGAAAGGGTGGTAACGCAGAATAAATTAAATTCATATTGTAATAAATTAAAATTATATACGTGTTAGGAAAGTTTTTCTTGTTTATTTAATATGAATGTACTTTAATGGTTTTGTATTTGAATCAACTTATTGTAAATTATGTGTAATGCTAATCCTTGACAGGACTCAGAGTCAGAGTCATAAACCAGAACAAGGTTAAGCACAGAATGGGTTATAGGCAGCCTAAGCAAATACTAGTAATTATAAGTACTGCTGCTTGTAATAATGTAGTCATCTACGACGATAAAAGTAGATAACACCGTCACTCTATCACCTCGTATTCGATAATTCTGTTCACAGTCAAAATAATTTTTTTTGAGTAGGGGCAATAAATATTAATGATAAAGCAAGTGAACTGGACACAAATTTACTGGGGTATTCATTTTAAAGTATTTTTATTTAAAACTATACAATTAATATAATAAGGATGTCATCCCCAGCTGGTCGTATGGAGGACGATAGTGAGTTATTCAATGGATTTGGATCTGCACCTTTACAAAGAAATCCAAGTTCAGGGAAGAGAAATCAAAGATGGTCATTTCATGATAATTTAAGGCCGAACTTGGTAGAATTGCCATCAGAAGCAAGTGCCATAGGAAAAAGAAGAATGAGTGACATTACTGGGATCGATGGAGTTCATACCGAAATCGATCCTTATCATATATCACCGGCACAATTGTATTCTACTGAATCAGGTAGATTATTCCACGCGGGCAAAATATGTATTGCATTAGCAGGTTTACCAGGAAGAGGTAAGACACATTTGTCAGTTTCGTTGACTAGATACTTACGTTGGTTAGGTGTGAAGACACACCTGTTCCATTTGGGTAATTATAGAAGAGCAAATGCCGAAGATGATTTACGTCATGATTTATTTGTGCCAACACCAGATAATCCCAAAGCTCATGGATTCCGTCAAAAGATCGTAAACGAATGTCTTAATGATATGTTGAATTTTTTCAAGAATGACAAAGGACAGGTTGCTATTTACGATGCTGTTAATGCATTACCTGAGTATAGGTTAGAGCTTCATAAGAAGTTTACTGAGTTGAACATCCAGATTATTTTCGTGGAATCCTCAGTAACTAACGATGCGATAATCATGAAGAACATGGAAGAGGCAGCAAGGTCTTCGCCTGATTATGTGAATTGGGACTACGAGCAGGCGTATAAGGATTATAGTGAAAGAATTAAGGTTTTGACCCCATTTTATCAAGAAATGGGTGAAGAGGACGATCAGAATAAGTTATCTTATATTAAATTCATTAACTTCGGTGATAGAATAGAGTTACATAATTCCAATTATGGGTATCTAATCAATAAGGTTGTTTTCTTTTTAATGAATTCCAGGATTAAGCTGGGTTCTGTTTTCTTTGCACGTTGCTATAAGAATTCATTAGACTATTCTTATGATCCCCCATTAGATGAAACAGGCATCCAATATTCAAAAAATCTCACAGAAACATTAACAGAATATTTGAAAGACCAAGGGAAAACATACTTTGATGATAAAAATAAGACGATTGGATCAAGCATTTCGGCTAGACCACAAGTTAGCAGAGAATTGTCAGTGGATGAAAGACATCCTGCTGCGGGTGTCGATGGTGTTGATGATAACTCTTTTGTCGTATGGACATCTGTCAAGAAAAGAACTATTCAATCTACCCAATTCTTTGCCGATAAGGATATCAACATCAGACACAGAATTCAATTATCGCAAAAGAATCCAGGAATTGTTGGAAATATGACAAAGGAAGAAGTCGCCAAGAAGTTTCCAACTGAATATGAACAATTTTTGAAAGACCCATATCATCATAGATTTTCAAGGGCAGAACTGTATCACGATTTGGCGATCAAGATAGAGCCCTTGATTTTAGAAATGGAAAGAATGAGCGGTGACATTTTGATTATTGCAGATGATACTGTTCTTAAAGTATTTTACGGATACTTAATGTCTTGCTCTTGCTACGATATTCCATCTTTACACTTTTCAACTGATGAAATTATTGAAATAAAATTTAATGCATATTCGAACTCTTCTAAGAGAATTGAAATTAAAGACTTCAGTTAGCTTGCTCTATTGTTTTTATACTTATAATGTATATATATATACTTTAAAGAAATATATCATTGATCACATGATTTACAGAATATAAATTTATTTGATCTTTCATCTATAGAAAAGAGTTAAGTAACAAAGAAGTCCAGTATGTCAGATCCATTGGTACCTACGGCTGTTTATAAAGCTCCTGATATTCCAGAAGGCAAGAATTTCCACCCTGGTGAAGGTCCTCATACAACAAATGGGAAGACTACCCAAATTTCAGATATTGTGATAAAAGCTGGTGGTGAGGACAGAGATAAACCAAGTGACGCAAATGATACACAGCTAGGTCAGTTGAGAGCAAAATTAACTACCTTGCAAGATCAATTAAATATTTTCTTAACCCAAAGAATGGATAACGAGAAAAGTAAATCTCAAGAAGAGAAGGATTTGGAAAGACAGGTGTTGGACGAAGGAGTCGATGATGATAGTGATTAATCCAAACAAAGACCCAAAGGATTATGTTCATGAAATATGCTTATATGCTTATACTTGATAGATGTAAATTCTGACAAAAATCAAAGATGTACCAAAACGAACCAACGAGTAGGGTCATCTTGTTCTATGTTTACTCTACAGGTCACATACTCTGAACTTATGTATATTAGACTATTGATATAGTGATTTAATGCATTTAATACGAATAAGGACGCTACTGGAGCTGATATGGTACAAATAGTAACTGTGAAGTCAAAAATTAATCTTTTATCATTTTATGATTTATCAGACAAGAAGATGCCTCTATTTCTTCACGTTTCCAACAATTTGGGTCATGTTTTCAAGAGTCTTGTCTAAAGTAGTTTCCAAGTAGTTCTTCTTTTTATTTAAGTTCTCTTTGCTTTCACTGAATTCCTTTTCGTCTTGAGACATTTCCTTCAAGTAAGAATTAACGTCATTTTTAACAAACGCTTTACCAATACCCTGCCACACTGCTTCATTATCCTTGGTATTGCATAATTTATTCAATGACTTAGTAGTCAGATGAATGAGATTCAAGTTTGTATTAACTCTATCTAATTGTAGATTACACATGGACAATTCTGCCCTGGAAACATTTAATTGATTATCCATTTCAATTAAAAGTTTCTGTAAAGCTTCCGGATTCATAGACATGATTTATTGTGTCGTTAATTAGTAATTAGTGTGAAAAATATGAATATTGTAAATAAGCAGAGTAATATTAGTACGATTTATATTTTGGCGATAAAATCTCGAGATTTTCGATCCAAAATTTTCAAATCATTTCGTAACTGAATAATATATTTCTTAACCACACTTTTACAATGCTTAGAGGAACTAGCAGATCAATCGGAAGATCAAGGTCTGGATTCACCGGGTTACATTATCAAATCCCAAAGGCGTTTTTGTCTACGTCCAGAATAGCTAATGCTACCGAGGGATCTCTTAAATCTTTTATTCCAAAGCCATCGAAATCGTTAGGCGAAACCACCATCGAGAACAATATTAAATCGGATACTAATAGGTTATCGAAGACGTTGACTAAGTTTTGGGAAAAAGTTGATGCTGTTTATAATAAAGATTTGGACAAATATGAAGTAAAATTAGATGGAAAGACTTTGAAGACTCCACTCGGCTTTCCGTTATCATTACCGAACGAGAAAAAACAACTTGCCTATCTTGTTGCACATGAATGGGCAAATTTGCCAGATTTAAAGGTAAAAATCAATGCCTTACCTTTGACATCACTTTCTTCCCGTGCTATCGACTTATACAACGTCTACAATAATGAAAATGTTGACCGTGAAATGATTTCCAAAGTTGGGAATGTCGATGACATTAAAGTCAACTTGTTGAGGTACCTTGATACTGATACCTGTTTAATCTTCACTACATTAGACGAATATGAAGGCAAGTTGAGAAATAGACAAAACGAATTATACTTCCCATTGATTAAAGAGTTTGAAGACTACTTCACCGAGTATGCTAAGAGAAAGGGTAACTTATTGAAAAGCGAAGATGAAAGAGTCAGCCTCAAATATTTAGACTGTGAGACCGATGGTTTAAGCGGCAACAGGCAATCGATAACTACGCAGAATATTGTTATGAGTTGGATGAACGATTTATCCATGTATGAATTGGTTGCATTGGAGAGAGCTATTTTAACAGCCAAGTCATTCTTATGTGGTGCTGCATTGTTACGCTCCAACTGTTCAAATGAATCCAGAATGAAAGACTTATACCAGATAAATAAATCTTCTGCAACAGACTATTATCATAAGACTGTTGAAGAACTTGTCGAATTAGGTAACTTGGAAATCATTTTCCAAACTGAAGAATGGGGTGAAGTTGAAGATACACACGATGTTGATAAAGTAGACTGGCTCAGACATTTATCGAGTTGCGCTTTATTAACCTTTTAAATAATTTTTATACGTATTTCGTCTTTCGGCTTCTGCTCTTTTTTTGTAAATAGTTAACAGCAATAGTGCGAAATTGAAATATCAACAACTACGAGTTTCTAGTTTATTAGATGAATAATCTACATTACTATTAATATCTACATTTCATAGATTCATAAATTTAAAGACAGGAATTCAATTGTATTGATTATCTTCATCATTTAGACTATATTAATATTTCCTCGAACCTTCGTGATATATCTTATACGCTGGACGCGTAAAACACAATTTATTGTTTGTGTTAGTAAGAATGGCATCTAAGTCAAATAACAGGGTGGAAAATGACGAAAAGTATCATTCACAGCCACTCTGTTTAACCATGGGGAAGACACCAAGAAGAGTGAAGGTTTATTTATTAAAAGGAGAAGATTGGTTGGATAATGGAACTGGTTATTGCATTGGAGAGATTGAAAGTGAAACAAACAAACCGTACTTTATAGTGCGGAATGAAGCGGATTCAGATGATATAATATTAAAGTCATACCTTGAAGGGTCTATTCAGTATCAACGTCAGCAAGAAACATTGATTGTGTGGACAGATTTGAAAGGCAAAGATTTAGCATTATCATTCCAAGAGACTGAAGGTTGTGCAGATTTATGTGAATTTATCATAAAGGTACAACAAGAGAACTATAGCCCTGAAATATCGTTATACTACGTGATACCAAATAATAATATTGTGGACGATGAAAATTATCTGCAAAGTGGTGGTAACGATATAACCGAATTGATCACAGGTCCTATTAATTACCCCGAGGACCCTACTACTGATAACCTTGAAGCCACTTTGGAGATCATAAATCAGGGTTCTAATTCACAATATACTAGGACATGCATACTGAACTTCGTGACAGAAAAGCAATACTTGTTAAAATTAATCGAAGTATTTAAGAAATCTGAAGAGTCCAAAAACTTGATTAATTTATACACATTAAGTGAAATAGTAAAGACTTTGATATTATATAATGAAGCTCCATTGATTGATGACTTTTTGTCGAGCGAAGAAAAGATATTAGGCCTCGTGGGAATATTAGAGTATTGCCATGAGTATCCTAATTTCAAGGCCTGTCATAGAGATTTTCTAAAGGATAAATCTAAATTTAAGATTGTTGTTGATATTCCAGTAAATGATGATGCTGGTAAGCTAAATATGTTTAAAAAGAATTTTCATTTAAACTTTTTAAAGGACGTTGTTCTTGCAAGGTTCTTGGACGATCAAACATTTAATTTAATATCGTCTCTAATATATTTTAATCAAGTTGAAATAATCAAATTCTTGCAGGATTCAAGGAATAATGACAACTTTCTAGAAAAGTTATTCAAAATTTACGAACAAGATGTTAATATAGAAATGAAGCGAGATGGGGTAAAGATGTTGCACCAGTATATATTAATTGCGAAATCTTTACAATCTTATCAATCTGAATTCTTTTCAACGTTAGTGAAGTCTGGATTATTCAGCATGATTCGTTTTGCATTACAGGATACTGAAAATACGATTAGGGTATTAGGAACTGAACTTATAGTTGTAATTATTGAACAAGACGTGTCTCTTGTCAGTTCTATTGATAAGGATGAGACAATAGATAACAGTGACCCACCTAATATTTCAAACGATGATATTAACATTGACCATGATGAAACCATAATAGAGTCAAAACCATTGAAGTTGAATTTATCCGATGATATGACATTAATATTAATTCTATCGAAATTATTGGTCGAAGATAAAAATTCAGGCTTGAAAATGCAAGCATTTGAAGCATTGAGGATTTTGCTTGATTCAAATATAGCGAGAAATGCAGCTAATGGTAATAGCGATTTTGATCATTTAAAGAATGAATTCAATTCCTCGAACAAACTGCAACATGATGAAGGTATTTCCAATACGTCCGATGAATGTACAGATATCAATACAAATAATTACTTTAAGGCTTTCTATTCTCAAGCTGCCCCAAGTTTGTTTGGGAACTTGATTGATCTAGCGAAAGAGGATACGAATAATGAAGATATAATAAGGAAAATATCAGGAGATGAACTTCTCTGTCAACATCTTTGTGACTTGATAATAACTTGTACCAAAGAACATGAGACACATATTTCCAGACCATTTTTCTTAGAGAATAACATATTATTGGGCGTTGCTAAGATACTTGCAATCAATACCAAGACAACCTTAAAGCTAAGTGCGATTAGATGTTTAAAAAGTATCATTTTGTTAAATGATAATTTCTATTCTCGGTATTTTGTCAGTAATGATGTTTTGTCGTATTTCATGGGGTTTTTCGAGACCGTTTCCCATCAAGATAATTTGGCCAATTCGGCATGTTTGGATTTTCTAGAAGTAATCTTAAAGAATTGTGATGCTACAATAAATCATGGAAAAAGACAAAATTTCAAACTTTATGTTACACATCTTTATAAGAATTATAAAACGTTCTTCCAAAATGAAATTAATTATGTCACATTAGGTACTGATCTTATTCATATAGTCGAAAGTGGTTTCTATGATAATAACGATGTCAAGAATACGTCAAGAGCTGACACGAGCTTCAATTCTGACGATGAATATTTAAACAGACACAATGCGTCAACCCCAATAAAGTATGATGACGATGAATACAAAATTGAGAATAGACCAACTAATGGATCATCTAAACCTAATAATTTGTTTGAAGATATCGAAAAGGACATGGAAAGTAACATGATAGGCAATGGAGAGAAACGGCTCCGTGAGAATGATGAAGAAGATGGAGAAAATGCTTCTGTTCTACAGGAAAACGACAATAGTTCTGCTTCCAGTAGTACATTAGGATTGGCAGATATGGAACCAGGTAGAGGCAAGAAAAAGTTGTCTACTAGCATAAGAAAGAAATTTTCCAATGCTGGCAAAGAAATAGCCTTAAGATTGAGATCTACCAGTACTAATACTAATAATAACAACAGTAATATATAAACCGGTAACTAATAGATATATAAATACATATTGTGCACGATGAATTTAGTTCGCCGTCCAAATCTTTCAGACTCGGTGCAAACATATCGCAGGGTTTAATTTCGTAAATGTATATAAATATATTCACGCATCTTTATTCTGGTAAGTAAAGATTAATAAAAGTAAGAGATGGCAATATGTGATTGGATTAGTCTTTTGCGATTAGCTGCGTAGAACTGTAGGCGAAGAAAACTCTTCTATTCATACGAAAGCAATAATAATAATAATACTACTCCAGAATATAATAGGGTCAAGAGATCTTCAAGATGTTAGTCAAAGAGAGTTGTCTACTAAAAAGTTGCCCACTGCCACAAGAAAAATATTCTCCAATACTGGAGAGGAATTACGTCAAGGCAGATTGAATGCTAATCTTTAATTACTATCGTTTTCCCGTAAGAGAACCCCATCAGGGTTATAACATCTCCGATACTTTTAATGGATATACCAAAGCACTTGATCTTATTGACTCAATTACTATACGTACTAAACGTAATGCCACCTCAGTAACCTCTTGTGAAATATTTGGTGAACATGCATTTAATTCAGAAAATGCAAACTAGTTGCAAAATAAACTAATTACTTATTTGACTTCACCTTTAATCGCTTGCTTTGCGTACTATCGAGCCTTTTCGATTCAATTGCGTCCTTACCTTAAGATTTCTCGGCACTTATTACATAAACCGGACCTTTTCCTAAGAATGAATCGATGAAATCTCATGCCGTAAGGATTCCAAATTTGAGAAAAGAGAGCATATTGAGTTTCATGCTGGACGATAACAGGAAATGGACACTTTTATAACAGCAGTTATATTATCATCCACCGTCGCCAGGTTGAATACATGACTACCAGAGTATTGGAACTCAATTCTTCACAGTCTCTGGCATATGCAATAGCAGATTCCCAGACTTTTTCCGGCTATCAATATCTAAAAGCTGTCTTGGCAACCTCTGAGCTTCCAAAATATCTGTAGTCAAGAAGTATACATACATACACAGAATTACAAAATCATCAGAAAATGCTTTTAACCGCATTTCCTTGATGCCTCCGAGCCCATAGATCATCACTCTTGGTTTTCCTCTCATTTGATTCGAGTAGGTAAAAAATTTCGGCATACTTTAATCCTTGAGATTAAACCACACGAAACTTTCCTAGTCATCTTAATATATGTACCATGTTCATCTAAGAGGCTAGGATCCATGAACTAGTTTATACAACCTTTACTACTCAATTTTATGAAGTGTGAATATCAGCCTCGGCTTTTTTAACCTCGGTGGAAATTTATCGCGGGGTTGAAAAGATTCATATATAGATATCCATATTCCATCTTCTTCTTAGCTAAAGAATCCAAAAAGTAAGACAACATGGTATTAGATCAATCATTTGTCACTAATGGTTCTTGGAAGCCTGATTTATTTAAGGGAAAAGTTGTGTTTGTGACTGGAGGAGCTGGAACCATATGCCGAGTACAAGCTGAAGCAATGATCCTTTTGGGTGCTAACGCAGCTATAGTAGGTAGAAACCCAGAGAAAACTAGACAAGCGGCCAGAGAGATGGATGAATTGAGACCGGATTGTAAGGTCATTGCATGTCCAAATACTGATGTTAGAGATGTAAATTCGATTGCGAAAGCTGTGGAGAACACCGTACAGCAATTAGGAAGAATTGATTTTGTTATTGCTGGTGCCGCTGGTAACTTCTTGAGTGATTTCAATCATTTGTCTAGTAATGCATTCAAATCAGTGGTGTCAATCGACTTATTGGGTTCTTTCAACACCGTGAAAGCATGTTTTGAGCAATTAAAGAAAAATAAAGGTTCTATAATCTTTGTTAGTGCCACATTGCACTACTATGGTATTCCATTCCAAATCCATGTTGCCGCTGCTAAGGCAGGTGTTGATGCCTTATCCAATGCTTTGGCTGTCGAATTGGGTCCTCTTGGTATTAGAAGTAATTGTATCGCCCCAGGGGGGATTGAAGGTACTGAAGGTTTGAAGAGATTGGTTCCTGATCTCGACAGTTTTATCTCAAAGATTCCATTGGGAAGATTGGGTACTACCAGAGATATTGCCGAAGCTACAGTTTATTTATTTTCGCCTGCAGCAAGCTATGTTAGTGGTACAGTACAAATTGTTGATGGTGCAGCATGGCATACTGGTAATAATTCCACAAGCCACTTGTATCCAGTAAAGCTTACTGAGTTGAACACTCAACAAGTTAATAAGTTATAAGCATATAGTAGTCTATAGTAATAAAGCAGTCGTGTGCCTGTGTAATATGAACGCGTTTTGATATCAACACTTTCGATCAATGATGAACTACTCAATTTATTTCATTAATAGTAATCATAGGCATCTTATTTTAGAAATAAATTTCTGAAAAACATAGTATATATTAGATCACGATGTCTATTGATCCAGAAACTCGAAGAAAATTATTAGTATTACAGAAAAACGGGTCCAACAAGACATGTTGTGATTGTGGTGCACCAAACCCTCAATGGGCATCACCAAAGTTTGGGATTTTCATTTGTCTTGAATGTGCTGGTATACATAGAGGCTTAGGTGTTCATATTTCATTTGTTAGATCTATTACCATGGACCAATTTAAGCCAGAGGAGGTTTTGAGAATGGAGAAGGGTGGAAATGAAAAGTTGAAAAATTACTTCACCGAAAATGGTGTGGACTTGAAGTTGGAAGCTAAGTTGAAATATGATAACTATGTTGCTGAAGATTACAAGGAGAAATTAACTTGCGAAATTGAAGGAAAGGAATTTACACCAAAGGATCATTCTGAGCAATCATTACCAGACATTAACTCGACTTCATCAAGCGACAATAATACTTCGAACGCTGCTCCTAAGCAGCAAGAAAAGATTCAGTCTCGCCGTGGAACTCCTTTGTCAAGTGAACAAAAACAAAATAATGAATCCTACTTTGCTGAATTAGGTTCAAAGAACGGGAGTAGACCAGATGACTTACCTCCTTCGCAAGGTGGTAAGTATGGTGGATTTGGTAATACACCAGCTACTCAGTCCTCTAAACAAGGTGGATCTTTATCTGGATTTACTATAGATAGCTTTCAAAGTGACCCATTTGGAACCTTATCCAAAGGCTGGGGATTATTCTCCACTACGGTTGCTAAATCAGTAAACGAAGTGCATGAAAGTGTTATCAAGCCAGGTATTAATCAATTACAAGAAAGTGAATTAAGTGGTGAAGCTAAGAGAGCTATGGCTCAGTTTGGTCAAAAGATGCAGGAAACTGGTAAATATGGCCAAGAAACATTCCAAAAGTTTACCAATGAACACGGTGCACCTGATTCTAAGTTCGGTAAGCTCTTTGAAGGGTTAAGTGTACAAGATGAATCAGAAGGAGTAAAGCCAGCCTTTGGATTTCAAAAGCCAGAACAAAAGACCAAATTGGATGGCTTAAGTGGTGGTAAATCCAAGAAAGATGACGATTGGAAGAACGATGATAAATGGGATGAGTTTTAAATCTTTTGAAAAACTAGCGAAGAACCTACAGTTCTACATATTTTACTTCCATTTTTTCTACAATCATTTTAATTTTAATACCTGATATTAACTGATAAATATATATATATACACTTTTTATTTATGTAAATTGTTTTATCTCTTAGTATTAGATGACAATCAATGCAATACTCGAACAAGTCAAGTTAAGATTAACGGGCATTTTTACGTCTTAGATATGAACCGTATTCATCTTCAAATGTTTGATAGCAATGAAAATATGAATCTTTGACATAAAAATACTTTACAATAGGCCAATTTAACACCCAATCCACGATACCAACCTCTCTAGCAATCGAAGTTAAAATGAAATAGAAAATGCCTAGGAAAGTGCCGAACAAAATACCAACAATCACTTGCGGAATGGTATGATACAATAAATAAACTCTTGAAAATGCAACTGCTGTAGAAGATACCACCAACACTAAACAGCCGAATTGCCTCTGTAAGCGCGTTAGATGATACATCCTGAACAAGAAGATACATACAAAATATGCTCCAAATAATCCCATGAACTGAGAATGTGCAGACGGCATACCAAAAGACAAACTATACGACCCACTACCGAAATCTTTATGAAAATCTGGCCTTGGTTGTTTAATAACCTTTTTAATGACTTTGTTAGCGACTTCACCAATTAAATGCCCACCAACTATTACCACTGGCTCAATTTCTCGAGTAATCAAGAACCAGGCGGTATAGAACACCATAATATATATCGGTAAAAGCGTCATTTGAACTGAAGCCATTGATATTAAATCATTCGGGTCGTATAAAATATAAGTATGATCAAACGGTATTGGGTTATACGCCATCTCTAATGGGGTAGCAGAAACCATTGTGGTATTATTTCGTTCTTGTATCGATTATTTTTGATATGAATATTTACTCAAAGCGACAAGAAACAATGCTCTATTAGTCTCTAATGAACAAAAAGGAGCTAAGAAAACCTTTATATGCTTGAGTTTGACTACCGTCAACCCTTTTTGACGTATACAAATGAAAGTGAAGAATATCAATTCATACCCATTGAAAATCTAGCGCGTACAAATTTCGTCATGGCGAATATTAGACAGTAAATATTTGGAATACTTATTTATTGTAACCTATGGATGAGTTAATATAATCTAAAATAATTCATATAATGAAGATAAATAATCAGAATAAGAGATGCAAAATAATAAAAGAAGTCATGAATGATATATATATGCACAAAAGATATTAAGGTAGAGTAAAATTTCAATAAGAAATAAAGAGGTAGGTATTAGAGGTGAGTATGAGACATTAGAGGACATCAAGAGTAAGAGATTATAAGACAAGAGAATAAGAGAGATAGAAACATGTCAGAAAGAAAACATGTCAATAGTATATATGAGAAAATGTATGTTATAAAAATATCAGAGATATCCAAGCGACAGAAAGCAACTCAATGATACGAGGAAAGGAAACAAATCATCTAAGTAAATTAGATAAATTACATATTAATTTGTCTCTTTTGTTGATCCCTCGCCCATCTTGCAGTATCCTTCGTGGATTGCAGGAAAATTGGATTTGATCTTGCCTTCTTAATAAATTCTGTAACCCAGGATTGCATGTAGGCTTGCTTGAATTCACCAGAAGGAAACATAGCACCTATATCACCCAATAAACCTGTAGCAGATCTGGCAACTGAGTCTGTGGTTGACATATTAATATCTAAAGAGACCAATTGTAAAAATTGGAAAATTGGTGCAACATAAGGATAAATTGCTTGTGGATTATCATGCAATCCTCCGACAATACCGACGTAACAATCTAAAACAGACTCTTTAACATTCAAAACATAATCAATAGTTTCCATAGAGCTATCTTCTGGTTCAATGCTAGAAGCAGAAATACATATTTGCATTACAAAATCTGTGTAGGGTTGGAAGTTGCTACCAATTGAGGTTGCAATATCACCAAAGCAGGACAATATAACTGGTCTCAAGTCTCTCTTGACTTCAGTATTATTCAAGTTAGCGCCCAAAATATTCATTAAGCCTTCTAAGTATGGCAAAATTGAAGTTCCTAAGGAATGAGACAAATCTGCAACCAATCCAACTGCAGTATTACAAGTAGGGGACTCTGTGTTTTGTAAGGCCTTAGTTAAAAATGGCAAGAAAGCATCCATGTACTTCAAGAAGTTTTGGCCAGTTGCACCGGCCACTGCAGAAATCGCTATGAAGATATCTTCTTCGATTAAAGCATTTGGTTCTTGAGCTTCTAATAATTTCAAAAACATCGACATCAAATTATCAGAGGCCTGAGAGACTTCATTACTCAATCTCCTAATAATATTAGTTAATAAAGATAATATGTTGACTTGCAATTCTTCTAAGTTAGCCTTATCTTCGCTAGTGAGAACTTGTTGCTGCATTCCAATAGTGGATTCTAAACGGTTTAAGACTTCACTAGCAAGATTTTGGATGATTGGCATAGAATCGTTACCACTGTATATAACAAATGTTGATAACGCCTCATATGCTGAAGCCCTAGAACTGTATTCATTATCCGATTTATTAGATAATTGTACCAATATTGGCACAATAGTCTGATAGTATGGAGACATCACTGTTGTTTCTTGTTTTGGTCCATCAGAACATAATTGTTCTAATAAATTCATTAATGTCCAACAACAATTAGTCGACACTTTAGGATGATCTTGCAATCCGGTAACCAATGCTTCCAAAAGACTTTGCAAATGCTGGTTGATATCGATAGCGTCGACAACTAAATCAGCAATTCTACCTAAGCACCATGCAACTGTTTCTTTCACATGTAATGACTCATCCTTGATAAGTAATAATATTGGCTCTAAGGCTTGACCGATTAAACTTCTTAATTGTTCACGATCAGGACCATCTAAAATAGATCCAAACGCCATAACAGATGCTTCACGGGCACGCCAGTCGGTCGTGTTTCCAATATTAGCTGCAACGAATTGTAATGTGGCTTCGACAACATAATTCCCAGTATTCTGAGCAAATAATTGTAAGCATGAGCCTGCTGCCATAGCAACTGACCAATCGTCATCTTCTGGATCTTCATTTTGTCTAGTTAACAAAGTCAATAATGTAGGTAATACATCTTGAATAGCAACAAGAGCAAAGTTATAGCTTACCAATTCAGGTTGTGCTTCAATACCATATTCTTCTCTTTGTAAGGTTATTTCTAATTCTTCCTCACATACAGTAGACCAGAATTCAACGGCCATACAAGCCACCCTTTCATCAGCACTTTGCATACCAGAAACGGTTAAGCCGTACAAAGCCTTTTCCATATACAAAGCCATGAATCGGTAGTATAAAGACATGATTCTTGCAAGACATCCAAACGCGCTGGCTTGTAATTCGCTGTCATCGGCTTGTGTAGCTTCACATACAACTTGCATGATGTAGTTTCTTTCACCTTCTCTTTCAAAATTAAACTTAATGAATTCCAAAGAGTTAACCAAAGCATTTAATGCTGTTAATCTCACGATTTTCGAAGGCTCGTTGCTTTGAACCCCTTGAATGATAGCGATCAAAATACCGTTAGCTTGTGCCACAATAGTTGGATTATTAGGATCAGCAGTGTCACAAATGTAACCAATTGCTAATAAAGAAGCACGCTTAACATTTACTGGCCTGTCAGTTTTAGTGTTCTCAATTATAATTGGAATCAACTCTGGCCATTCGTTTCTTGGCAATTCTATATCTGCAATAGCTGCTACCAACTGTGCTGCAGAACCTGCAACTCTATCATCAGTAGTCAATAACGCCTTCATTGAAGTTTCCTTTATCTTATTCTTTGCTGTCACTTCTAACGAAATCCATCTGTTATGTTGCTCTAATCTGGTTTTCTGCTCTTTTGAAGTCAACTGGTTCTTAAGGCCAATACCCGCCAACATTCTCACTTCAGTCTTGGCTTCCTCATTAGCCAACGCATCGGTAAGTAATCCTATGTATTCAACAAAATGATTCTTAGCGGCCTCGTCCAATTGGCGTTCTGCTTCAGTTCTCTTTGCTGCATCTGGATTTAATAATGCATTTTCTAATATTTGAAGAATATCCATTTTGTTCTGTGTCGTCTCTTTTCAATGTAATACCTCCTGAATGGATTCTATAATTATTTAGCCCGATTCGTTCTAATCGTTATTCAAATACAAGATCAGGATCTTAAGAAACAAATGCCTAAAAATAAGGGTATTCAAGATTCAACTTCGTTAATTACTCAGTAAAATAAACAACTAAAGAAATTTTGTCTAAAAGATATCTTAATTGACCTTTAGACCAACTGATTTTACTAAAAAGTAGATCTTATATCTAATAAATAATTTCTTGCTATGCTTTAGCTGTTGAATTCGAAGGACGGGCAAAAAAACTACGGACGTGTACTTTATCAAATTCGACCAAAAAAAATTTCTTGTTCATAACCACGAATATAAGAACTGGTACAGATTTTAGATCATGGTCTAATATATTCCTATAAACATAGAGAAAAATGTATAAATAGAGTACTACAATTCGCTCGAATGAGTTTAAAAAATTTCGTAAAATGTCTATTTTTGACTTACAATTGAATGTAAATCAGTCAACGTTTCTTCTTTCTGAATTACAGAATAATTAGCGTCGCTGTTATTAAATTCATGTTCATTGTTGTAGTGGTATTGTTGAGATCTTTGAGAAGCAGCATCACTGGCATCTCCGCCAGCTTGTCTTAATCTTTCTGCCTCTAATTTCTTCATCATCAATCTTTCCTTCGCCTTCAAGGCTGCAGCTTTTTGCTCCAATAATGCAGCTCTGGAGGACAATTCCTTCGCACTAGCCATTTCCATTTCTTCTAACTTCTGTTGTCTTTCTAAGATTCTTTCGTGTCTTATAACGTATGGGACAGTTTCCGAAATTTGTCTTAATTGGTTACGTTGTGGTGCTATTGACAATCTCTTGAAAGCAGCATTATTTGAGTTTAAGTTTCTGGTTTGTGGGGCATTTTCGAGAGATATGGTGGATCTCGACGACGTGGATGCATTGTCTCTTAACTTAGGCGATGGCATTTCACTAGATTCCTCTGCTCCGTCTAATAACATAGATTTATTAACCTTTGATGAGGAAGTAGAATTAATGGAATGGTTATCACCAAAGCCATTTAATGGATTCGAGGATGTTAATTGAGCCAAATTAGATAATGATGGAATAGTAGTGCTGTCCTTCAGGAAAGACTCATCATAAGGTTGTTCTTCGTAACTTTCATGGAATTCTCGGTCATCGTCATCATCGTCAATTCTTCCGGTGACCTTAGATAATCTTTCGGTTCTATAAGTCTCATATAAGAAATCGTGGGTCAAGTCCTTAAAATCCTGTAAGTGAGTTCCCAAAAGGACCGATTTTAAAGTTGTAAAGTCACTGTATTTTGGATTATTTATATCTACCAAACCCCATGGGTATTGTCTGGCTTTCGTAATTTTCGATTCTCCAGTCTTAGGATCTGTGATTTCATACTCATCTTCAGATGATATTACTGCAAAAGGTTGCAATGACGACAAATACTTGCATTCTTGTATCAAGTCGTAATCCTCTTCTTCGTCGTATTCAGATAAGGAATTGTCGAACTGGAAAATAGGAACATTGAATTTTTCAATATCAACCTTAACCTGCTGTTTGAAGTGTCTCAATTCAGCCTCAGTAAACGTATCGGCCTTGCTAATAACTGGTAAAATATTGACATATTTCGATAACCTTTTCATACAGCTTATGTCAATTTCTCTTAACCCATGTCCAGTGGCAGTAATAAAGTAAAGCATTACATGGACTCTTGTGTCTACAAATCTTGGATTTCTTCTGATTCTAGTTTCCTCTGCCAATACCAAATCAAACTGTTGCTTCAAATAATTCTCGATCTCAACAAAACATATTTCATTATTCAAATTTTCTCCAAACCCTGGTGTATCAATAATATTCAAGTACAATTTCATGTTATCGTCATCAACTATCTCGACCTTTGTCTCTGTCAACGCGATCCCAGGTTCTTCGTTAGCACTCGAAGGATTGAAATCATTTCTTGTCAACACGGCTGTATTGGGCAATGCAATAGATTTGGCTGAAGTAAACGCCAAAGTCTTGGTATCATACTGCTCTCCATTATTATCTTCATAACGATGCGACATCACCTTCTTGTTCAACAAACTATTGACAAATGTTGTTTTCCCTGTACCCATCTCTCCAACGACCATAAATGTAAATTTAACCCCCTTCTTAGCATCTTTTCTATAGTTAATCATTGGGGAATGACTCGTCATCGATGGCGAGTCAAATGTATACAGTTGATCCATGTTTTGTATCTCTTTGCTTAATTATGTCTATGTATACATAACGTGTTCAATTATTTCAGCTCGATTTATGTTTATTTTCGACATTTTTGTGTAACGAACCATTTGCACGACAACACGCGTCATTTAATTACGTAATTATTTGACATAAATGCAACATATCAGGTACCATGACCCTGTTCATCCTCCTTATGTCTCTATTATGGTGATAGTATTAACTGAGGGAGTTGATAATACACTTTGAAGTTAGTAGGAAGGAATCGAAAAAAATAACTTCAATGAACTGTAAAATCGCAATTTGAATCTCATTGCTCTTCATAGTACATGACAAAAAATGAGGTTCCAGGTTACTATAATCATTCCACTATATATGGCCCAAAAATTTATTAAATTGTTTGCTTCTGGTATATCAAAGTTCTGCAAATACATACATCAATGATTCGCAATACATTCAAAACATTGTCTTCTAAAATGGCATCTCAATTAGATCAAGAGTTAATGTCGACCGGAGCATTTTCTATTGATCAATTGATGGAATTGGCAGGTCTTTCAGTAGCACAAGCGATTTATAAACAATATCCTCCAGCAACTGCCTCTTCTAATAAAGTTTTGATGCTTGTCGGTCCAGGAAATAATGGGGGTGATGGGTTGGTAGCTTCGAGACACTTGAAGATTTGGGGTTATGATCCGGTATTATATTACCCGAAGAAGTCTACGAAGAACGAATTGTATAAGAATTTATCAAAACAGTTACAAGATTTGGAAGTTCCCGAGATTGAGAACCTTGAAGAGGTTAAATCACTTTTAGAATCCCCTAAGTCAGTGAAAATAATTGTGGATTCGCTCTTTGGATTTTCGTTCAAACCACCTATCCGTGAGCCATTCGGTGAGTTAATTAAGTATTTATCAATAAATCATTCAAGCCTTCCAGATATAGTTTCGGTTGATATTCCATCGGGATGGGATGTCGATAAAGGACCAATTGACGTTGATATTAATTCTACAATGTTGATAAGTCTTACGGCACCTAAACCTTGTTCCGAGCATTTCTTGAAGGAGGGAAGAGTTCATTATTTAGGGGGGAGATTTATCAATCAAAAAATTGCTCAAAAATATGATATTGAAGATTTAGTCAAATTGTACAAGGGCGATGAACTAATTGTAAAGTTATAACATATACTTATTAATCATTATGATTTATAAATACTTTAATGCAAAATATGAAGTTATTTTTTCGTGATTGTACTTAATTCTGAACTGAACGCTCTAAATGTCGATGCTAGGAATGCAGATACCGAGCGTCCTACATTGGGCTTACGTGATTCAGCAGACGATTCCTCGTCTTGGGGTATAGTTTTAATACCACGATACTGGGTAGTATTCATGAGATTTGTAGACAATGCTCTTGGTTTGGATGTATTAAAATGTTGTGTAGATGCTCTTGGTGAAATCACGTTTGAGTAGGAGGTGTTCACGCTACTCAAAGTAGGGCTCAAAAATGATGTAGATGTAGCTCTAGGTTTAGATGTTCCGATAGAATACCTCGAATAACTGTAATCATTACTAGAATCGAGACAAACGTCGATAGAACCATTGATAGCCACTTTCATATCTCGTTTACTTTCATGTACACTTTTTGATCCTGTAAATGTTGAAAAATTACTCTGATTTGTCATAGAGAACATTGATGCTGGCCTTGTTATTCTAGTCTTTCTCACTTTAGGTAATACTAGGCCATTATCGACCGGAGAATGTGGTAAGCTAGGAAGAACTTTCTTACAATCAATCAGGGATAAATTTATCTGCTTAGAAGATGTATGAACTCCAACTTTCTCGGTGCTAGGAGTATTGTAATACTCTAAAATAGAAGTGCTTGCATAGCTTCCTGTTGTTGGCTGACCTTTCACGCTTTCTTTATCAGAATCCCATAAACTATCACCTAAGCTTATTCTATCAAAAATACTACCCAATTCAGGCTCTTCTAGACACATCTCCACTGCATATATCTCTTCCAAAGTATCATCCTCAATCTCATTAACTTCTGAATATATGCTTGATGAGCTGTCATCAATAAAATTGTCATTTAATTCGAAAATGATCTTTCTTGAGTTTATGCTAATTTCTGTATACTCGTTACTTGGCACAGATGATGCAGACGTAGAATCCATAATGCTGGTTCGAGAGAAAAGACTATCAGTCTCTTCAGTAATTGGCGCACTTTTCGCAGTCGCAGAAATCAGGTCCTTATCGACCTTGGTACTTTCTAGGGATTGAGCCTTGAAGGATTCTTGCAGATGGTTGTTTTGTGGAAACATTGATACAGATCTCTTCATATGTAGTTCCATTCCTAATTCAGCTTCAGTTTTAGATGGTAATTCTGGTAAACATTTAGAGTTACTTGACAATATGGGCATACTTGTTACTCTTCTTCCTTTAACATTCCTCATAATACTTCCAGTTTTTCTATTGAATACAGGTAATGTTGGAGGAAGATCTTCCATTTTATAACTGCCAACTTGAAATGTATCAATAGCATATGATAAATCTAAATTATGCAAGTTAGCAGGAATTGGATCTGGAATATCCATAGTACTTAACCGTTGTTTTGAAGATGTTATTGTCATACCATATAAATAGTATAAATACCGGAGAATGCAAGTTATATTGAGGAGGGCTTATCAATTATTTATCATGTTTCAGCTGAGGTTACAAACTTATATATCTAGAAAATGTGATGATGTGAATTCTAATAGTGCTGGCTCTCGCACCTCGATTTAGAAAATATCCCCAAGCAACTTTTTTAAATACAAGACCGAAGCTTATTTACGGCATTTAGGGAATAGATTCAATTGTTAATTACCTCTTTTACGGTTTAACAAGTACAGGCGGGTTAATCTTTTATTGTTTTCCCTATTAATAGATCTATGCTAATGTAGCATCGAATTGTGAACTCAAATTTACACAAGCCAGCAGTACCTATACACAAAACAGAATATCAATGCAGTCCAGTAATGAGTTAATAGAAATCAAGGATAAGTTGTGGAATGGATCAATTAATATTAAGATTTTAATGGAGGATGATAACAATGAAGATCCTAAGGAGTTCCTAATTACAGCATACCGCAATTCGTATTTCCCCATATATTTTCCTTCGGTTATAGCTTATTTTCAACAGTATAACGAGCGGATCAAGAATATGCCAGTATGGTTAGAATATGAAACAGTACCAATAAAATGGAATCTACCAATTGGCGTTTTATATGATCTTTTGCATTTGTCTAGTATAATCCAAAATCGGGAGGACAGTTCGTGGAAACTTACGTTAAGGTTTTCAGATGACTATCCCACAGATCAGGTAATTCCTTTTACATACACTGACGATGATAACTCAATTAATTATAATAGACTTCTTAAAGAAGTTATAGTCAATCAGTTGAAACAATCATGTTTTGTAATAAATGGCAATTCTAAACCGATAATGAATTTGAGTGAAAAGGACTCAGACGAATTATGGAATGCCATCAGGACGCATAATTTAAAGTCATTCAATCAAATAAACAAGAAAATCATTCCTATACGAAAAAAGTTTCAAAAGCTACCAGTTAAGATATATATACCTGGATCTGCAACAATAATTCATGCTCCAATTTATCCATATAGTGATACGGGCGAAGCTATTCTTCTTAAAAATATATTAGAACAGTATCTACCGGACCTTATGAGCAACAATACTGATAAGGTAGGCTCAATTTACATTCATGGTATTAATGTGGAATCTATAATTAATAAAGAAATAATTAATGTATGGGAATTGTTTAAACATTTGGATAATTTTCTATACATTATTGTTCTATTTAGTACTTATTCAACTATATGACTTATTCGCTCTTCCCTTTAAATACAGCTTGCAACCAGTTACGATACATTTTTAATTGTTTCTTTCTATTAACTAATAATCTCCTATCTGTAGCGATTTTCTCTTCTACAAATGGGCCATTCTTGCAAAAAATTTCTCTCAATTCCCCTTCCGTGAAAAAATACACTCTTGTTCCGTCACCTCTAATGTAAAAGTTATCATCTAACAATCTACCCTTCTTAAACCTAACTTGTGCTAAATCATACCTACCATAATCCCTGAATAGTATTTCCCCTCCTGGTTTTAAAATCTTTGCTAAGTTGTTAACCGCATGCACCCATTGATCAGGGTGTAAGGCCAGGAACACGAAAACCATTATAATAATGTCTGCAGAATGTGGTTCTAAGTCTTCTGGAATTACACCATCTGGATTGGCCAAATCCCATACTGACGAATAAGCAATACCTTTCGCGTTGCTCTCTGGATAGTTTTCGTTAGACTTAACTAAGTCGACTGCGACTTTCAGGTAATCACATCCTACGATTTTTAAATTTGGATTCTTATTTTGATTCAATATAGGAAAGAAAGTATTTCCAGCACCACAACCAATTTCTAAAATAGTAGTTGGTTTATCATAACCTTCACCTGTAACTTTATATAAGGACGGAAACTCTATTTGTAACCATTTTCTATCTTTGAAGAAATTCTCTCTATTATTTTTATAAAAAATATCCCAGTACTTGGCTGGGTTAGCATTATATAATTTTTTGTCAAAATCTTTAACAGGATTATCATATTGCTTTGCAATGAGTTCTTCTGCTTGTTTAACTTGTTCTTCGCCCCATTCTACGTGGTCCCATGCATTATGATCAAAAACATTTTCTTCGTCATCTAAAAATCTCTGACCAAAGGTAAACGGAGTATCTCTACCTATTCTAGAATCTAAAGGTGGCTTACTATCCTTAATTAACGGGGCATCCTCGACAACGGTCATTATACCTATTATGATACTTTATCCTATCGATATCAAACTTCTACTCTGATGCCAACCAAATCTACAGCATGAAAAATAGTTAAAAAAAAAAAAATTCTCTATTAATATGCAGGAGTAGTTGCAGATATTTATGTTATCATCAGCTATAGATTTTATTTATATGTAAGAAATCTAATTCAATGTATTGAATAACTAGTTCAATTTACTCAAATAATGCTTTTCACCATCTAAATCCTGTAATCTCGATGCAGCTTGTTCACTTGTTAAGTCTCTTTGTGATTCGCCTAACATTTCAAATCCAACACAGAACTTCTTAACAGTGGCCGATCTTAATAAAGGAGGATAGAAGTGCATATGGAACCAAGAGTTATTCTTTTCCTCGTCTGTACCATTTAAAGGTGCTTGGTGTATACCCATAGAATATGGGAAACTTGTATTAAAGAGATTATCGTATTTGGTAGTTAATTTCTTTAAGATCGAAGCCAAATCTTTATTATGCTTGTCAGTAAAATCTGCAATAGAACGTAAGTGTTCTTTTGAAATTAAAAGGGTTTCAAAAGGCCACAATGCCCAATATGGAACAACAACAATAAACGAATCGTTTTCTAAAACCAATCTTTCCCTTTCCTTTAATTCTAATTCAACATAATCTCCAAGCATATGAGAATGGGATTCGTTGTGATAATTCGTCATATTTTTTATTTCATGATCAACCTCTGTTGGAATAGTGTCTAAACACCAAGCTTGACCATGAGGATGAGGATTAGAACAACCCATAGCAAACCCCCTGTTTTCGAATATTTGCAAATATTTATATTTAACAGGACCTTCCTGTGCTTCCTTTTTTAAATCTTCATATAACGACCTCCATGATTTAATAACACAAACAATCTCTTCAGTAGACATCAAAGGTAAAGTTAAATTATGGTTTGGACTGAAGCAAATCACAAAACATTTTCCTTTCACCCCTTGAGTCTTAAATAATTTAGCTTTTAATGGAGACGCTTTTTCAATTTCCTGCGTGTCTTCAAGATAGTCGGGTTGATCAACCCTGACAGCAGGGTAGTCATTTGGAAAGATATACGTATTTTCATATTTTGGATTAGAATCACCCGTAGCCCTTATATTTCCAGGGCATAAATAACATTTAGGATCGAAACTAGGTAAGTCTGATTTCTTAAGCTCTTCTTTAGCACCTTGCCATGGTCTTTTAGCTCTATGTGGGGAGCACAAAACGTATGTATTCGATAACGGATTAAAACGACGATGAGAATGATTTGTAAAATCAAATTGTTCAGTCATTGTATGGATTCTTTAAATTTTAAAATATAGTTGTATAATTCTTTTCAAAATTAATTTCATTTCCTTTGGCTTTATTTATAATTTGGAGGGAATTCCTTCGTATCATGATGTTAAAATTCTATTGCAACGTTACATCGATTTTAATTTCTCCATTTATAGTAGTTTGTTTTGTGTCACTGCCCCACATGCACTTTTTCTTTTTTGCTTAACATTACGAATGTTCGGTTTAATTCTTCATGCAGCTGAGGAGAAAAATGTCGGTGCATAATTTCCTATTAGAGTTTCGGAAATACTTTTTACATCTAATTCACCGTGTATTCCATACTATATGAATGTAACGTTGTATCGTTGACAATATAGACCTCCGATAAGAATGTAACGTTGCATTTTCGAAGAATTGGTTTGCTCCTATGCTGCTTCATTAGAAAAAAGAACTATTTCTAAACTTTTAGATCTCAGATTCAGGTCTATAGATTAAAAAAATACAGTATAGTGTCATGCCTGATTATGATGAATATTTCTTAGTTACTGGCGGTGCTGGCTTCATAGGATCGCACTTTTTGGAGTATTTCGTTATTCGATATCCAAACTATCATTTTACATGCATAGATAAATTGAATTATGCAACAAACCAAAATACTAGTTCATTGTCTAAAATTATGGAGTATCCAAATTTTCACTTTATCAAAATGGATTTATCAGCCGAATATCCAGTTCTCTATAACTTTTTAGTCACTGAGTATAGAAAAAACAGAATAACTAATATTATACACTTTGCAGCTGAGTCTTGCGTTGATCGATCCTTTTCCAATCCGTTATATTTCACAGCGAATAATATTTTGGGAACTCAAAATTTACTAGAATGTACCAGATTATTAATAACAAAATTTCCTGAGGTTAAAGATCGTTTCAGGTTTATACACATTTCAACCGACGAAGTGTATGGGGAACAGAATGAAGGTGAGAGGGTAGATGAATCGAGTAAACTAAACCCTACAAATCCTTATGCAGCGACTAAGGCCGCTTGCGACTTAATACTCAAATCATATTATTATTCTTATAAAATACCCATTGCAAGTATACGATCAAATAATGTATATGGGCCAAGACAGTATCCTGAAAAAATCATTCCTATGACGTTAAGCAAACTTCAGTGTTATGTTAGACAATATCCTAGATCAGATAAAATGGCTCATAAAATAAGGATTCATGGAGATGGTTCAAATAAGAGAGCATATTTGCATATTCAAGATTTTATTCAGGGAATAGAATTGATTTGGATGAAATTTAGAGAAGAACAATCTGCATCATATCCTGAGAAACAGATAATAAATCAAACGTTTAATATTGGGAGTGAAGATGAAATAGACAACTTGTCTTTGGTGAAATTTATCTGTGACACTTACTTGAACAAGAAATTGTCTTTGTCAAATTTAGATTATTCAAACTATATTGAATTTGTGAAAGATAGAAATTATAACGACTCAAGATATTCCATCAATTATAACAAGATTAAAAAGTTTGGTTGGAATCCAACTATTGACTTAAAAAGTGGTATAGTTGGTCTAATTGATTCTCTTTTATAGACTGTAATGCATTAATTTATTAATAGATATAATATACAAGTTGGTATTTTCATCAAGATATAAGTTCTTTTACTCTCATTTCAAAAAGAAAACTCTTTATAGGCATATCTAGTGAATAGAATGGATCCTTCATAACATAGTCCGAATAAAGGATATACAACTGTCTATAAATATCATTAACTTGCAAGCATTGTTTTGATAGTTCACCTTTACTTGAAGTTCCCAAACTCTCTATAGGCTGTAAATTGTGCACCACTGGGTTAGGTGACGTTACTATTATGAATTTTATACCAGTCAATGTTTGAAAGATATATAGATTGAAAAAATCCGTCTCAATGCTTTGTAACCCTGACTTATTTGAATCTGAGTTCTGTGACTTTCCGGTGTTAATTAGCGATGCATTGTTATTCTGTGTTATATGTGATGAATCCTCTTTGCTTAAATTTGTTGAATGGGTTAACTTTGAAGCTATAGCATGAACACCATGTAAGGTACCAGCTAAAACAAGGTAATCATTTGCACCTAATTTATTCAAACTTGGATTCAAATCATTTTGGTAAATAAGACCACCTGCTTTATTTAGAATGTAAATTGAATAGACTTTCATTGGTACAAGGTTCTTGCTTGTATGGCTTGAAATAATTGATAGAACATTAACTTTAAACTCGTATATAAGCGCGTTCGTGTCCTCAACAAGTATTATTTATATAGTATTGGATTGCAAAAGAACAAATAGGTATAATTAAATACAAGTTCCTTTATTGAAGCTTCGTTGAACTAAAAAGATATCAATTATAGATATACAACCAATAAGTAGTTAATACAACTTTGGCTTTCTCGAATATGAAGAATTAAAAAAATTAAAAAAG